CGGCCAAAGAAATCCTGCAGAGAATTTTCAAAGATTCATAGACAACGTATTCAAGGGTCTCAACATTTTGTACGTATATGATGATGACTGTCAGACAGCGAATACGGACAAAGAATTCCATTTCCAGCATATATGGACCTTATTTTCAGATAACTGCAAAAACATGGAATAACTGTAAATATTCAGAAATTTCATATAGAAACCGATTCCCATGACTTTCTCAGGCATATCATTGACGCTCAAAGTATTTGCTATCTGAAAAACAAAAGTGGCTGATATTCTGGATTACCTAGAACCAACCACATTCAAGCAGTTATGCACGTTTAAAGACCTGTTGAGTTTTTATCGATGATTTATGCCAATCGCTCATTTATCATGAAACACTTAACAGACCAACTTCGTGGAAATGCGAAAATCATCGATTTGAACGACAATGCAAAGAATCATTCTAAACAGTAAACGAAATTATCGCAAAAGCAACTATGCTCTCACATCAATACATAAAAGCACCGATTGGTATAGCTGTAGGCACATCCGACTCGTCAATCGAAAGAGTTTTACAACAATGTGTAAACAACACATGACATCTTTCGGCATTTATCTCCAGACAATTGCAAGATAATGAGTCAAGATACAGCACTTCCCGCAGGGAAATCATAGCTATATGTTGTGTTGTATGACACTTTCAACTCTGAAAGATTGATAATTTATCGTTCTTACTGATCACGGACCTCTGATCTCTTCACTTACCTCGTCTTCAGACAAGCACTTCCATGTAGAGTCTCCACAACTGGACTACGTCTCGCAGCGTGCTTCAGACTTTCAACATGTTTGTGGGTAAACGACTTAATTACAGACGCCTAGCCTCGTTTAACTTTATTAAATATTTTCCAAGGGACTGATCCTCTTAAACTCTCCTAGCTTCAAAAAGAAAGCATCGATCTTCGGCACGAGTTATCTTCTACAACTCTGACTCAAGCAAATGGTAAATGGTAATGAAACCTGACTATGTAACTCATTTATGGGTGGGGATCCTCCGACCAGGTCGACACGTAACTGACGCAACATCCTCAACACGTTGCACAAAATTTCTCATCCAAGTGTTCAAGAAACCGTCAAGCTCATAACAGGACAATTTGTTGGCCCAGTATGAATAGAGATGTGATGAAGTGGGCATGCTCTATAGTAGGCTGCCGGAAATCTAAGGTGTACAGACACAACACATGTCCGTTAGACTGTTTTACAGCTCCTGACTCTCATTTCGACCACGTTCATCGTGATTTGGTAGGATCCTTACCGGTTCAGATGGCTACTTTTACATCTCAACGTGTATGGACCGTTTCACATGATGACTAGAGGCAGTATCTATCAAGGACATTACTACTGAAACGGTGGCCCAGGCCTTCTTTGAACGATGGGTAGCAAACTTCGGCTGACTTTCAACTATTTCTACAGACCGTGGACGCCAGTCCGAACCTGGATTCTTTCGTTGTCTTACTACATTATTAAGAATCACACAATTTTAAACGATCACCTACTACCCACAAGCTAACAGATTAGTAGAACGATTTTACAAATAGTTGAATGCTCCACTTTCATCTGCGAACAAATCACGATGGACTGACACTCTTCCAATATTATCACTCGGTATTCGCATTGAATTGAGAGTTGACGTTGGATACACTGGGTCACAACCCGTATACAGAACGACACCGACTTCCAGGAGAATCCATAGATCCTTTATCTTCAATGAATGTGGATTTAAACTGCATATATTAGCAAGCCTACAAATACCATGCGTTCAGTCAAACCTGTTTTAATTCTCCTGCAGCCAACTGTTCTCATCCAACCAGCCTAAAGACTTAGTATAATCGTCTTTGTGCATCGCGACTCATCAATATACCCCTTCAAAATGGCATACTAATAACCCTTCAAAGTTCCGTATCAAAATTCTAAATAAATACTAACGGTAAGAACGGGATTAACAATAACATCAGCATTGTCCGTCTCAAAGCCGCTTACTTAAAAGGAAAACAAAATTACGTTGTCATTCCTCCTAAACAATTGAACGATACACACTTAACGATTACTAGGTCATTCCTGATGATTAACGAATACGAAATATTTTATATGATCGTGCAAAGGAAATTGTGTTTTTTTAATACGCAAATATACCTGTATATTATTTTTCGATAAAAAAATCCAAGAAAACGTCAAATTTTTCACGCTGTCGAATGGTATGTGCACACGTTCACCGGTGTTTTCATACATCGTGATTCCTTACAAAAGTACGAGCGTGTTCTGATATCCATTTATGTCTTTATTTTTCATTTTCCCAAAAGGATTGGAATAAAAGGAAAAACCGACGAGGAATACGATAAATCAAATCATTCATTTTGTATTGTTATGTTTTGCTAAATGGCTCCTTATATCGGAGAAAGATAACTAGATGCTACAGGACATAGCGAGCTATCAAATAAGTATTTACTATCGGCGACGCCATTTGGTTTAAACTTCTGGATGGTAACGTTTTATGGTCATCAATACTCAATTAGTGGGAGAGAGAACTTTAGTAGTAAATAAATAAGTAGATCTGTAAGTCTTCGACAATTATGATGGACACACCCCAGGAGACTTTCGATCACACATTTGTACCAGATCACCAGTGGGTACGCTGTGCTACGTGATCCCTGCAACCATTAAAAGGATTAGATGATCCAATTCATATTGACTACTTGTGTATTTTCTACAGCCAGTTCACGTTATGAATTTATTATATACTTTTTGAACTGTATTTGCTTACAATCCTTTCGAAGCGAAAGATATCATAATACTACACAATTAAAAGTGGTTATTATGACCAGTCAATATGTATTATTTCAAACTGAAAGGTTGATAAAATAGGTTATGTACGAACAGTAAACAAGAGAATGTTTGCACTGGCCAAATTAAGTAAGAACAGATAATATGAACTATACTGAAAGTGTAATAATGACGCAAGAAACAATCCTGATAATTATTCTTTAAAAAGCGAATCCCTACCACTTCTCATAACCTGAAGACGTTCACTTCCCGAACCACTACTAACTGTTCATTTTTATGTTTTTTATTTTGTATAAAAGTACGTTCTCTTATCAGAACCGAAGATATATATATATATATATATATATATATATATATATATATATATCGTCTTTTCATACTAATTTGTTTGGGGTCAGTAATCAAGTCTCGTGAACTGTTATTAGTCTGATTGAGAATTCCAAATTAAATTTGACTATTCTTATGAGTTGTGAATTCTCATTAGTGCAAAATAACCACAGTTCGAAGACATTCTTAATATGAAATTGGGACATGACATCGGTCAACCATAATAACAAGAAATGATATTCTGAATAGGTTTGTCAATAACCTGACAAACTGAACCTATTTAGTACAAATTTCATTGGAGTAGAAATTTCTCATTACCTACTTTTCGACTCTACATTCAAGTCTTACAGTCTACTAACCAACATTCTCTAACATCAATATTTCATAACTATGAACTCAGAAAAGTGATAATCCATTGTGCTATGTTTCATTGATCGATGTTTCCAATACTGTAAGTGTAAGCTCGGCAAGTTTCAACTAACCAATCTAATGACACCACAGAAAATGTTCAACTAATGCTGACGCAACAGTTGTCGATTTTTCCCAGTGATACTATTCAAATTAGATTTAACGAGAAGATTTTTCATGAATAATTTTCTTCACTCGTAAGTGAACATTTTTATTCGGTCAAAACATTGACTTACCGAGTAAGTACTACAAAAACAAAATTACGCAAACACTTCTAAAAGCCTTTAAACTGTGCGGTTAGTCAGTCTGTGTGTATTCGAAATAATAAAGTGAATTCATCATAGTCTGGTCACTGAGGCTTTCAACTATCGCCTCGTTGAAATTCAGAACTGGATTTCCAGTGACATAAACACTACAGTCATTTTAAAATGTTACTTGGATTCAGTAACTCAGTGGATCATTCGTTCTTTTAAAAAAGACGCTAAATTCCAGCTTCAATGTGATGTGGCGGACACACCCACCTGACCAGCACGAAGTCAGACCAAACATACATCGCCGATTACACTACCAGTCATAATATAACTATTCGAAAGGAAAATTGTGTTCTATTAAAGTTTATTGATTTCCTAATTCATTTCGTAGATTCCAGTTTCACGTCTCACATATAACTAGATAAACTCCATTGATTTACGCATCGTTTAGAATATTTTCGTTTTCGTATTCACATCATGGATACCATTCAATCTGACTGAAAATATTGTTTACTTATAGCAAACATCTACGCTATGCAAGTCCATTCTTCTTTGAAATAATGCTTCAAAGTAGAAAAATCATATGAGAGTCAAATACATTATTTTCAATCAAACTACTAATCAACTTTTACTGATACAAATAATTAATTATCATCACTTCCAATCTTAGCACACTTTCCATATCTATGTGAGAGTCTGTGTATTTCTATTGACCTCATTAAAAATTAAGTTGGTCTATAAGAATTAATTGAACAATTATTAACATATCAACTGATTGCTAAATCAATCCAAACTCCTTACAGGGTAATTGATTCACTGTCATAATCTCTGTTTTAATTAGTATAGAACACTGTAGAAGAACCTTATTCATTATACACTTTAAACAATTATTATTGCGACAAAGAATTCACGAGAAATAAGCACCATTCAAACAATCCGAACTCAGGACCTACTGGTTTCGCGCGCGAGCACTTAACCATTAGACCACTGAGCCGGCATCCAACGGTGTTAATGTCTACCTTCAACCAATCCACGAAGTTGCACCACCGTATACCATTGTCTTCAGTGAGCTGATATCTCACAACAGACCTGGTTGAACTACACTGGTAACGGCTTCCCAGTAGAACTCCAATTAATGTTTCAAATGTCACACTGTCATAATCTCTGTTTTAATTAGTATAGAACACTGTAGAAGAACCTCATTCATTATACTCTTTATACAAGTATTAATACAACAAAGAATTCACGAGAAATTAGCACCATTCAAACAATTAACTACGACAAATTATTAAATATCAAAAAATCAATAATCAGTTAATATTGTGATATCATCTAATATTCTTACATCGATAACTCTCAATCTAAAATCCGCTCATCTCAACATAATACAACAACACCAATCTATTCATTATTCATTTTCATCATACTAAATTCTCATGTAATAAACACAACCACACCGCTTACAATTAATCACCAATCTCATTTAACTATATCATCTCACTCACATCAAACATCAGTCCACCTTCAACAACTATCCCAACATCACAGTCAGTATTCCTCAAAGAAACAATCTAATCAATCAAAAGTCAGTCAAATAAACATACGCTGAACACTTGAAAGTGTCCACAAAGTAATCAACAAAAGATAAATAAGTACTCGATAAAATAAAAATGCAGCAAAACAAAAGAAAAAACAAGGTTTCTGATCACAATTCTTCCACACCCGAACCACAATGGGTAACACGGCCATGCCCGTCTGTTTATCCATAATATATGTGAATGTGAGAGTGTACGTGTTTGTGTCCATATATAAATGCATGTATGTATGTGTATATGCATGCTTTAACACCCTATGTGTACAATTACATAGTTGAATAGTTGTATATGCACGCATTATATACAAACACATAGGAACTCGATGCAACAAACAACGTACATACATAGTTAGATAGAAAGATCGAGTTAAAGCAAGGGAACGATGCGTACATTCATACAGAGGTCAACTAAGACTTCTCATTCCGCTCAGTCAATGCACTGTTCAACAAATTCCAATAAACGACGACCGTAGAATTCCGGTTTCACAGAACCACCATCAGCACCATGTTTCACTGTTTTGTAAGTTTGCGCTGTACGTTTACGCATCCCATAACGGGTTAGTATGTCGATAATAGCCACAAAATAGATCAGTGGATGAGGAGAATCTGTCAAACAACAAGGAAAACAGGATAACACAGCAATATAATCCATATGAGGAGCAATGTATTTCATCAATATATATATATATATATATATATATATATATATATATATATATATATATATATCAAAAATCTTTACTATTGAAACAATGTCTGCCGTTCACGCACTCCACTCAAACATCAGTCATTCAAACGACTTCCTTTCGATGCAAATTCATAAACCTACATCTTGAATGACGTGTACCGTGTGCATGTGTACATTTATTCCACAACAAACTGTTTTGATAAACACAAATATCAGAGAACAATCGGATGAATACACACGGCAAAATATTGAATAGTCTACATCTAGAATCTCCTCGTGTCTACCTATTATACTGGGCATTAAGGAGTGCACGAAATAGTCTCCATGCTGCTCCTGTCTCATCTGTTCCCCTTTTACAACATTAACCGACCATAACTGATACCTCAATGCGATGGCCATGTTTCCTTAGTGTGATGACCCAATCGAACTGTGTTGGTTCGGACAATTGTTCCACTACCACTCACTCCCCTATTCCATTCCGCACAGGTCGGTTGCAACGTCATTAAATTTATCAAGCTAATAAAAACATCCGTCGATTTCTACCGTACACCAGACTGATCCAGTCACTCTCACTGAAAATGTTCACACTTCACTCATAGGTTTTGTAGAAACGAGAATTAATGCTCCACACACACACACACACACAAACTTTAAACATCATGTATTTCATTGAAAAAATACAAACACGAAATATCCTCTTACCAATTGAACTTTTGATTCCATAGTGTTCCAAAGTAGGATGCAATTCACCTGAGAATAATTGAGGTAGACATTCTGCACCAGGTGGACTATCCGGTGGGGTCAATTCACCTGAAACGAACAACACAGAGAATGTATACAAAGAAAACCAAACCAACTATTGAACTGCATCTTCGTCTATCTTCAAGTCTTTACATACAATTCTCATACAATCAAGCAAACATTAGTCCATCCGCGTGATGCGCAATACGATCAACCATTCATGGATACACAGTACATCACCGCACATGCATGCATTCATATCAATCCGACTCGCCACATCTCAACTCTCATCAGCATTGTCAAAATGGAAGTAAACAAGATGAGCAACAGACAAACGGAACTACAAGTATTTTCATAAACGAGCAAACGGATCACCGAGATCCCGATATCAAGATCGACTTTTAGTCGCGTCACTTCAACATCTTCAGTCGCACAATATGATCACTCAGCTGGTCACAAAGATGAATGGCCCGGTGAGAGGAAACTCTGGTCCTAGGTTTCATGTTTTGTAACACTCATTAACAATGTGTACCTGATGGATCGATGACGTGCCATGTAGCTTCACAATCTGAAATGTTACTAATGAGTTAATCGGTGGGTGACTGACATCCTATTAGACTGAAATAATTTTAATCGCTTGGTCACTTCCCAATAATTAATTGACTGCGTAATGCACTATGTACATAACCTCCTCCTCTTTCAGTAGATACTGCCATGCCACAATGGTTGGAGACTCTTGGTGACATGGCTCAGAATCGATCACAATGGCGTCGGTGTATACACTCCCTGTCTTCCCTTAAACTAAGAGATTAAAATCGCTTCATATCTTTCTTTCTACGAACCAATTATTTCTTCTTGTACTATATCTCCATATGCAATCTTTCTCTTATATATTACCACCTTCGACCCAACCACTGCTATGAATCCGGTGTTCATCTTGTTGTACTGATGCGGTATGGCAACCTGGACCGATGCACATATGTGCCTGGTCCTACGTTGTAGCTGACTGACTGACTGACTGAGTCTATCTATCCATCTACCTTTCTACGTACCTTTCTTCCAATGTCAGGTATCGTTGTACGCACTGGATGCACTTAGTTTGACATCAAGGCCACTTGAAATCATCAAAAGTAGAACAACATACAAATTACCGCACGAATAATACATCAACGCACAACACATCCAGGTCATCATACATGCACAACTACACACGCACACTGACAGGATGGAAGGTGAGAGAACCACCGAGTCATTCCACTTCAGTTGGAAGGAAATACCTCATAAGCATTGTCTATTTGGAGTGATTAGACAAATTCAGTGGAAAACATTACCAAACAACGTGTTTCACCAGGAGAGATATGCACACACCAATTCCAAAATAATAATATAATAAAAGAAAAAAAACAATTACCACTTCACCATAGTAATAACATCTCACTGCAATCAGTCTTAAAATGAATTCTCATCAAGTGTACATATACACGTGTGCAGCATTGTTTGTTCAATCATGCACCCATCACAATAAACACACACACACACACTCAGGAAAATCAGCTGACAACTTCACCGTTTGCAATCAACTCATTGTACAATTCGCATAAACATACAATGTCATTTGTGCTTGATCAACATCAACCTTATTCACACAACTCCGCATTCAACAACACAAACCAGTCACACAATCAGTCAGTCGATGAAATCCAATTACAATTATAATGTTAATTAATGCTAAGACAGAGTAGTCAGTCGAATTGAACTCTCTAACAACAAATGGAATAACACAAGAATAACAATATCACACATACTTGTAGGGACTTGTGTATTGTTCTCTGGTATACTGATCCCGTCCTCCTCTTCATCGTCATCATCACCTGTGCTCGCATTCCCAGTACCAACACCACAACTAGCAGCCTCGGCAGCTGCTGACGAGCTCAGACCAAGCACAATACTCGATCTAGCCATCGACAAACGACCACATTGCCATTGTGAGCTAAGTGTTCCAAGACCGTCACCTGCAGACACCATCCTATCATCGAAGCCTCGACTGTTAGGCTCCAACACACCACCACCAGTCCCTTCACCGTCATCACCAGCATCCTCAATTGAATTAGCCAATGCAATCTCAGGATTATGCACTCCAATAAGAAGGCTGTAGTCTATCAAATTGTTCTCCTGTAAGAACTGTCATGAGGCAAAAAAAGAAACAAACAAACACAATCACAACATTGTGCATCACTAAGTAATCCTATACATCCATGTCGAATGTCCACCAACCACAAACCAGAGGGAGACATCAACGATCAAATGCACATCATGTCAATTCATTCACTCAATACATTGATTACCAATTCAACCAATTCCTATCCAGTATGATACAAGTCAGTCGCTCGACACTCGTTACTGAGATATCATTTCATAATATACACTGCACTAATGATATAACACTGATCACTGTTCAAATACTATCGTTGCTCATTCATATTTCGAGTAATAATCAAAAGTCACAGTTAGTTACCAAAGCAAGATTATGGAAAAACTGTTTATTACTAACTCAATGATAAACTACTGTCAATTTATTATCAGAACACATAGTTCGGTCTCCATCTTTACCTACTACCATATTCTTAACACAGGAATCACTTACTCGGTCCTCCCAAAATACACCAGCAATGTTTCCAAGACGCCTACAACCAAATACTAGGATCCTAAGAATGCCCTCTATTCTTAATGGTCGTATTTCACGACCGTAAAGTCTCCAACTCCCCTAGGTAGATCCTTCATAACCACCAACCAGGTTAAGGCGACGGACATTCACCTTTCGTTCTCTCAACTTCGTAAATAACACCCGCACCACGAGAAAGCAGTGTGTAGCACTTCCCTGGTTCTGGTTGTAAGCACGTGGCCATGTGAGAGCGTTTCGAGAGGAAGAGTGGATTCTCCCCACTCTCGGTTGTACCAGCGCATTTCGGGGCCGTCTCCATAGGTGACGTATGCTGGTAAAAACCAAACAAGCTTCTTCAATGCGTGCAAAGATTTAGTCAGACACCAGCAGATTGAGGCTGATCAGACTTCGAAGATAATTAAAGTTTTCGACAACTTCACTCCCTATCCTTAGTTCAAGTGTTGAAACAGGTCAGACCTGAGAAGCAACAATTTCCATCGCAAGTAGAAGAAACACATCCTAAACATCCAGACATTGTTACTCAGTGCTACCAAAACACTATGCATTTCATCAGCGTCTTCGTTAAACAGGACTATGTCATCTGTGTATTTTAAGTCGAAAAGTGGACCTCGTAGTAGGAGATCAATGCCCGAAAATCCAGTCGATGAGAGCGTTATTTCCATCAGTAGCTCTATGACAAGGTTGGACACAAATGGAGATAGTGGACAGACTTGACGGACACCATTTGACGTTGCGAAGTCAGATAACAGTTTGCCACAAGCTCTGACTCGACTGATAGTGTTCGAGTAAAGAGCTTTCTCAAGGTTTTGTACTTCTGAGGTACGTCTTTCAATGACAGACACTGCCACACAATCTCCCGGTCTACAGAATCAAATGCCACATTTAAGTCAAGAAAGACCAGCATTCCCGGACGCCGATAAGCATGTTTGTATTCTAAAAAACCCGACGAATGGTGAATATGTGGTCGATACACCCACGACCAGGTCTCAAACCAATCTGCTTTTCTCGTGTTTGCACGTCACGAGTATTTGTTAGGAGCCCGATAATTACTGACGCTAGCATTTTAGATGCTATTCAGTTGAGTTTTAAACAGGTTCACATTACAACACAGCAAACCAACGTAGCACAGCCGTTATTAGCAACGTTCTAGATATCCACGTGTAACAAGGTGTATCAGAATATGTTGCACCGATCTCATGCAAATTACACACACACACACACAAATGGTAGGAGACACTCAGGATGAAATCAATTCTAATATTAATTGGACGATTCCGATTACCTCCCGTTGTGATGCATCGTACACCTCTCTACTAAAACAGATGTTAACCACTGCACAGATTGTGGCAACACACATATTGGTATTCATGATAGTAATAATAGTAATGGTTGTGAAATCTCAGATGATCAATGAGTGCAATCGAAAGTGTTACACAGTATAACAAACACGATTTAGAACTAAATAAAATGTTTAGACACCTTAACTGTTTCACGACGCAGCATACGACATACAAATATCTAGATCACATTAAAAGTAAATTACAACGGTACAACAACACTGAACACAATGTAGATATGCGCTATTCACAAATTCAATAATTCATACGTTAGTAATGAAGATTGAAAGTGTAGGTGTAGACAGTTGTAACACATCACACCATGTGCTACAACAAAATAGTACTCCTAGTAGTGTTACCACGTCACATGTTTCCTTCATGTGATGCGTACAGATCAGCATAGAAATTGTGGAAACACAAACAACCACAACAATACGAAGCAGAGAAGCGAACTTTTCAAGGTCTCGCTGAAATCATATTGATGAAACTATGTACACTTCATTAGCGAAAAGAAGCGAAAAAAGACAGAGTAGAAAATAAAATGTCAGGTTCATTCTCATCTTTCGATGTAATAAAAAGAACAACAGAATAATAAGAGCAAACTAATCGATAATTAGAAGACACAAAAAAGATATGAGGAACTCAAAAGCTCACATTTTCAGGAAGAGTCAAACAGTAGATGCACCTGGGCACCACAAACCATTTCCAGCCATGTCATTCAAAGTATATGACCATTCGTTACAATAACCATACGGACTCTAACCAGCTAGTCTACACAATTCACATGGCTCAGTCCAATTGTTAACAACTTCATGGACTGATGCCATGTTTCGGTTTGTCGACTTCTAACTTTCTTCCATACTATTTCTACACCACACAATATCGTCCGTTGAGATCGGTGGTGGTTGAACACACGTAACACATGTCCCAACCGCCCCAGTCGATGAAGAAAGCTAACGCAAAGTTCGGTCTCCACCTTTACCTACTACCATATTCTTAACACAGGAATCACTTACTCGGTCCTCCCAAAATACACCAGCAATGCTTTCAAGACACCGACAACCAAATGCTAGGAACCTAAGAATACCCTCTGTGCTTTAATGGTCGGACGCCTCGAACAACCGTTAACGTTAACATTTTGGACACTACATTAGTTAAACCGGTTCCTTTGTGATTGTCACAAGTAAAACAAAGGCCAGTTGAACTGTTCCCTAAAGTGTTCCGTCAACGGATCCAATTTCCTGCACTGAGAGTCAATAGTAATCCCAGCTTTTACCGGCCCAGTCACACCAATAGGAGAATTTTTATTACACACAACCTTGATAAGTCTGAACAGTTATCTACTGTTACCTATCGACGATGCCTTTTTCATCTCTTAGGCTTTCACTACTCACTCACCACTGCTCATAATCATACTCAATATGCACAGTGAATGCGAACATGCTCACGAGATTTGCATACACTGACACAAAATTCTCACCTCTTCTACTGCATTAAGTGATATGAAATCTACTAAGCAAATCTCCTCAGGGTTATGTACGAAGTCAATGGTTTGTCTGATGGCCAAATGTTTTACAAACGACAAATATCACCATACTATGGATCAATAATAACATATAACGGTAAGCAGCATACTGTACTCTCGAATCACAATAACTGTAAACATATTCAAAGGGAAACTCCCATCAAACAACACTAAAGAAGAAAATGTCACAATTATAACATAATAAAATCAACTAGTCACATGAAAGTGAGGGGAGTAATTATGATTATGATTATGACGAAGATTAGAGTGGTGATGAAGATGGCACAGTCAATTGTAGAAAAGTGCATCCAAGTGTGGAATTCATTGTCAAGAACAAAGTAAAACATATTCTCAACATCTGTGAAATTTCGATTCTTTCTTAAGTACCGATGACATGACTACTTCAAGAGTACACAAGCACTACATGTGATCTTGTCTTATTGAAAGTAACCATTTAAATGTGAAACTGTCACACCACTACCAATCACAAACTTTACACACTTCCCAACAGAATACGAACACACAGTCAGTCAGTGTTCCTACTCATTCACTTCACAATTACGACTCAGTTCAAACTGGCAGTATACACAGAATATAACTGCAAGACATCTTCGAAAATCTGTCACATACTTGAAAAGTCAATCTACACAAAACCGACAACATAATGGTAAAACACATGCATCATGCACTCAGCCAATCAATCAATCAGTGAAGCAAGCAAGCAAGCAAGCACCTACTTGTATATCACATTCCAGAGTACTCAACATCTTCTTTTTAGACTCTTCACCAATATGCATTTTGCACAAATCTGTTAGAAAATCTGCATCTTTCAGAGTTGGCAAGGGCTTTGACTATACAAATAGTAAAAACACAGAACAATTAATACACAGTGAAGTGAAACAAGTCAACGTATGAGTGATTCACACTTACTTCGATCATTTAATCTTGGTAGTCAATGTGATTACGCACACAAACGATTGGTGTAGCTACTTCACTTATTACTCTCCCGATCAAACAAAACTTTTCGTAACTTCATAATGAAAAACTACCCAACTTGCAAACATCGGCAACTCACACGCATCCCAGTGATTCATGTCAAACCAGACTACAACTCTTTCATAGTTGACAATATGTTAAAATATTTAAGACTGAAATGACGACAGTCAATTAAAGTTGAGAAAACTCCAACACTATGCTAAGTAATGTCTGATATGAATACAGGGAACATTCACAATTACAGTAGAGAAGCCTTCTGAGCAAGACACATCTCGTCTTCAATAGATGTCAACATATTCAGTCAATATCGACATCTCCACAGATTACTCAGTCGGTATCAATACAACTTTCCAGTTCTTCGAGCAACAAAGTCAAACCAATTCGAGATTCTACAAGGACCGATTGACATTAAATAATTATAATAGAGTACACACAATATCATCGCTAAGAAGTCTCTCCTCTCGGCAAAACGATTAAGAGGAAAAGATTCGCAATTCCACATCAAGTGAAGGGACTGCATTTCCTCTCTGTCGTCTACAACAACAATCGACAACTCAGTCACCTCAATTGTCCTCTCTTCGAAAACACATCGTAATCTGCTGTTCACTACCTTCACACAATGCTCATCACACCAAAATATTTACCACTTTCAATGATGGTACCAAAACAGGATACATTCTATGCTCTATTATACAAATTCAACTATTAGATTTTACTGGTAATTTGCACATTTCTACTTTGCTTACACTCAATCTCTGAACAAAATAATTGGTATCACAAAAATAAAAACTAAAAAACAAAATTAAATCCAATACACATGATGATCATTCACAATGGTGATAGATTAAAAGAATCAGGGGGAGAGACAATACTAATATTTTTGTTTAAATGCACAAATCCAAACACAAGAGCACCATGAAATGAAGCGACACAAGGAGGGGAACAATGGCGTTAAGGAGGAAACAGGTGGTGCACAAATGTTACAAAGTACACAAGAACAACAACAACAACAACAACAGCAACATAATACGTTGTTTAACTATAGTCAGAGAAAGATGTACACAACAATACGGCATGTACAGTGAAAGCATGATATTATGCACAACAATCATATATTCACACGAAGCTTTGTACAATGAAAATGCAGCACAGCAAATATCGTTGTTGTAAGTAGGAGATAAATAAATTCAATGTAGTTATGACCATTGTGGCAGTAATACCAACAGTTGGCAGATAAGACTACTACTACTACTACAAGCTAACATGATGATAGCGATGATAATTACTGCCAATCATAAATTGAAACTATTTGTCACCCATTTTATACAACTGACTCAACTGAATTTATCTAACAAGAGTAACAAGAAATGTAATCGATCAATTGAATGAGTGGCAAAATCATCAGACAGTAGCCACACACAACAACCTTAGATAACAGATAGTGTTTATGGCTGACGAGTCATCATTGAACAAATTGTCTTTGCTTCATAACAGACATCGACGCGATTCTGTATTTCACTTTCGTGTAAATAGTAAATTAGTGGTTGGTTTGAGCCTCTAAACAGACGGTCTAGTAAGAGCTCACACGACTACGTTAACATGATCCCGTTTATATCACGATAAATTTGAGTAGGGAAATTCTTATACTAACCATCTTTTCCTCACCTACACTTTACCACTCGCTAGTTTTTCAATCAACCATGACTGTGTCTACCGAATCTGAACTGTACCGACTAAATATCTGGCTTACTAGTCCACAAGATAATCCCATCTTCCAACTAAACCCACTGCATTCTCGACAGTCGGACAGTACCCTTAGGTAATACTCAAGATGCGTGACCATAGTGTCTTACTGAAACATGGATGTAATCAATCAGATGAATTCCCATTAATCATCAGTGGTTCTCTTTTAATTCTGACTTTTATTTCCTACGCATAAATCTATACTTGTATGTGGACTTATGACACTAACCATTCAACAATTATAGAACATTATGAATTTTAAACTCTGTAACAATTTGAAGGAATGTTTCATGTCCTTAACAAAGTCACGCATACATATAAACACATTCATAGAAAATATTCTATCTGTACAAACTCATTTCACATCATACTAATTTTAGTTATTACACATTCAATTGTCATTGGTCAATATGAATAAGACCTAGTACCACGCAATCAATAATTCTAGAATGTACTGACTATACAGCAAACACTAAAGACTAACTACGCAACAGACCGTAGACATCTTGCATCATCTTAGAAATAATCCACAACACCATGAAGCCCATAGATAAAACCTCGTCTTCTATAAGGTCAATTTTAGTTCAGAAAATGACTACCTTACATTCAGTCCCGAGAATGACACGTGATAATAGAAAAGCTATTGATAACAACACCCCGAACAATTTTTAACCAAATATTCAGTCAGTAGACTTCCAGCAATCTGCAAATAGGAATCACATACAATCTCTTCATTGTACAGTACTACACTCTGTCAGACACAGGCTCCGACATCATAAGCTATTTTCTTGCTGAATAAAACTTCAAGACCTATAACATGCAAAGTAATGTCACATGCCAAGAAACATATTTCCACATACATTTAACAATATAATCTGATAATGAATAATTTCGAATTGTACAATTACATCGTATTGGAGAAGGTGAATGTCAATTAGTTAATGATAATAGACAGTCAGACAGAAACATCCGTACTGCAATATACACATTTCCTAGTCTGTGTATTCGTCATTATATATAGTTTGCTCACGTCTAAAAAGTGTTTCTGATCGGCTTTTGGATGCAGTGTGAGTAAGTAGTTATGTGGCTAGGTTTATAGCGCCAAGCGAATGAGACACCATCAACACTTAAGAAAACATCATTTCCTGTGGTAATTACCATAATACAAATTTACCCACTAATACTCATAAACAAGTTGTCCAAGTATTATTTAATACTTGAAATCCATAAGATATGGTCCTTGGTAGCATAGCATATCGATTAAGCCAACCACTACCACAACTATGTGTACACTATACTTACCGGGTAGAATAGATAAAAACAACGTGTTTTCATGACACCATGTCTAGAAGTTTATCACAGCAAACATTCAACTACAACGCGTAGACATGTGTTTCAGATGTCTCGTGCTGACAACCACATAACAACAGAGAAAGCAAGTAATCACAAATCTGCCTAACACACTGAAAACAAATGCACAAACACATTCCATGCAAACACGGAAATTGACTGATATCACAAAGAGAAAGATTATGAACACAACGATGATAATGACGAAGAGAAAGAAAATGATGTGAGCTCACCTTCTCCTTTTCGTTGGCTTCACGATCCACAGCTGAGCCCTAATTACGAGGATAAGGATACAGTGTATGGACGACTAACTCAACAAGTTTTTGGGTAACACTAGGCAAAACGACACACGTTAGATGATGAGCACAGTCCAAAAACAATAGTCGAGACAGATGGATGATTACCACTACTGTTGTGTCGCGATAAGAATAATGAGTGGTAGTTTTTTGGGATCTATTTGTGGACCAATACTATACGTATATTTTTATCGTACGATGTGGTCTGCTTGACCGGTATATAAACAGAGTATGTTTGAAATACATGATTCATATTGCAGAGGCTGAGATTGGCGTTCTGGACTTAACTGGCTGGGCTAGGCGGAAAGCATGAACAATCAGAACTCTAGGCTGCTCGCGCGTGTTTTACGCATCCTTGATCCGATCGATAATTCGCTGCTTCTGATTGGCGGCTTTGGGCTATAACAACTACAGAGACAAAAACAGTAGTTAGCACCTACGTTCCTGGGAAGTTACATACGAATCCAACTAATTATGTTGATGGAATTTTGTTCTCTGAGCTGGATGGTTTGGTCGTGGAGCTTTCATCGTTCTTCTAAACGACATCATCAGCACAAATTTCAGAGAGCAAAACTCCATCAAAATCATCCACCTGAGCTACAAATCTTCTCCACTATCTCAAAACTAATTATTACTTCAAAGTTTTCACCAAAAGCAGAATTATCTACACAAGGAAGGTGACCATGCGAAAATACTATTGATAGGTCTTCATTTAAAACGCATCTGTGGCTGTTTGCCAGAATATTCAAATAAGCAAACCATATGGAAATATGAAAGTTGTTTCAACAATGCGTCCAATGCACCTCTAACGAGTACAACGTGTCTATCTGTATGTTTGTCTCGAAGTCAAACTCACTGTATCATAGTAAAACTAACATCTGGATAGCACAGCCAACGTGGGACAGGATTCATAATTGAGATCTAATGGTTGGATGCCAAACAGAAAACCCGTTGCACACTAGTTTAACCAATGTTTAATATCTTCACAACTGTGATCACTTTTCAGAACTCGGTCAGCTAGGCTCGCAGCCAAAAAGTGGTTTGAAGTGTCAAGTGTTAAATATTTAGAAACAGCAACACACTTAGTCAAGGTGATTCCGTATGAGACAACACTGTGTTGATTTATGTGTATGATGGTGGGTATATAAAATGTGTAATTTGTACTATGAAGGAGTAGAGTTAGTATTTCAGCTGTATGTGTGTAGATGGCGTGCAAAATGGATAGAGTTAAATGTGGTTGTTTGGAGAAACATTCCAGGCTGGATGCATGGTCAAGCCTCTTTTCCTATTGAGGGAAGAGGGACTTAGCATCATATGCAGTGTTTCAACTGCTCTCTTCTTTCTAGCTGGAAGAACCTTTCTACATTATCTTGACATTTTCAATATATCGATTTGGTGATTATTAGAAATAACATGTACTGCTATCCACGATATAATTTCCACGTTCTTTATCCCTACGGGATTATTATGTCTTTTGTGTGGCTTAGGTGTTCCTTGATAAGAGTCAAGATCTGACAAGAAGACTCTCCAATATAGAACGCATCACATCAACACAACACAATCTGTACACACGATCTTGTCTAGATGTAAACGGGGTCTCATCTTTTATTCCAATTTAAGAGTTTCGTGGAGTATTGGTTGTTGTTTTTTCTTCTTCATAGAAAGCTTCGATTCTGTGTTTTCAAGATCATTCGTAATTCTCCAATCGTACCTTGGCGATAAGGCAAATACACAGTACCAATAAAAAATCTTCCATTAAAACGGTCATTTATAGATGGATAATTTCGATTTAATATGTTTTTGATAGTATTTATAGGACAATTATCAGGTCGTAAGTTGTTATGTTGTCTTTTCCCTCCACCTTGCCCTTCATGTATATAGTTAGATTTAGATTTCCACTAGGATTTCTTTTAACGAAACAGTCTAAGAACAGTAATTCGCTATGTTCATCTTCCTTTTCGAATGTAAATTTGATGTTTGCTGAGAACGTATTTATCAGTTCAAAGAAATTTCTCAGGGGAATTCTCAATGACGACAAATGTGTCATCTATATGTCTGAGCCTGATGCGTGGTCTGATGGTAATGGCAAAGGTAACCGACTAAATATGGAACATAAATAAATTAGCAACAATCCAAGATGCTGAAGATCCTATGGTCACTCCACTTGTTTGTTTATTTAAAGTCCCACTGAAAGTCAACAGAGTTGAATTCAAACATAGTTTGGCGGATTTCACGATTGAACTAGTGTTTAACGAACATCACAAAAACATGATTATTTTATCATTATATTCTACGCCTGTTCTTTATCGACTGATAATTGTTCAACATGTGAATATATACAAATAATGGAAAATACTTGTCACTAGATTTACGTATATTCAAACTGGCATCTATGAGCTCTACACTTTATTTGGAAAACACTCCAATCTCCACCTACACATTGTCTCATCAGTAATATCGCAAATTTATATCGTATTATATAGAAATTATACTCATTAACTCAACAGACTTTATCACCAGTGATAAGTGAACAGGCACACAAACACACAGAGTTCTCAATTACTTACATGATAAAGTTAAAATTACATAATTAACTATGAAACAGGGGTCCGAAAACATAACAGGATTTATGCCGTTTTGTCACTTGACAATTGCTAACCTATTTACAACCTATCTAGCTTAATTGTCTAGTCAGTCAGTCCATTGGTTAGTCTGTTAATTGCTTAATTTATTCGCTCCTCTATGTATGACTGGTATACTCACCGAATAAAATAAACGAACAGAAACAACCACTTGTTAGGCGTTAACAGAATCATAAAACACTCTTGAAACGTTGTAAGTGTGCACAAATAGAAAATAAAGCGTTAGAAGTGTCAACATTTCGTCCTTGTCCTGTGTAACAATCACAAGGAAAATAAATACGCTCACTAAAAAAGAATGTTAGTGGTCAGTAACTGATACGTTATTCACTAATTCAAACACACTGAAGAATCTCAAGTGTATGTGAGGGATAACTTCGGAATCTATGGGACACTGACAACTAAACTGCCTTTCCTATTCCGCTACACACCCAATCACGAACACAAACGCAATCAGTCGAACGCATACACAAGGATTTTGGTTAGTTCAGTGTGAGTAGCAATAAAAAGCTACGCATAAGAGAGCAACACACTTCACACCATCAGGGTATTAGAAAGGAAACAAATCAAACGGTGAGTAGGTTGATGCATGTGTAAAGTTACAATAACATGACATACACCTGTGGTACTTTGAAACGAATGCTTTTTAATCCGTAGACGACGTTTATGCTCCTTGTTTAAAACTGTCACAGGATTGTCAATGTTGATCTTGGAACTCGACAATTCAGTCGACCCATGAGCGACGAAGGAATGAATACTTACAGAACGTTTCACATGATGACTTGAGTACAGAATATTCTACAGGTGAAAATGTGGAAAGCACACAAAGACAAATAACTCTGCACCTATTAGAGTAAACTACACAAAGTCATACATCCATCCTCAAAAGTCACTATGTCAAACTTACTCATTCACATTTAAAAAATTCATACACACAAAATCAACCACAACTAACTAATAATCAACAGATCGTTACCTTCAAATCATATTTCTTGTGAATCGCAAGTCTTGGGCTGAACACATTCCTCATTACTAAGATATACGACTCCTGATCATTCACTGTAAGTCGATAAAGTCCAAGAAATTGAGGAAGCAGTGTTTGGCCGTGTCCTTTGACAATGTACTACAAGAAAGAGAGACACATTAAAAGATAACAATCAATCAGGCGGCATGTCAATAACAAACGATAATCGAAATTCGAACCACACTGAGAGCAACACCAGTTCAACATTTAATTGTTCGGCATTTTGACATTACTGCAAAAGCAAGTTTCGTTTTCGATGCACACTGGAACCATCTGGTTGCTACAACCAAATAACAGTAGCGTTTTGTGATGAATTACGAGCAACATTTACTGACAGCCTTTACATTGCATCAGATACAACAATGCACATGACACAAGAGCTTATGGTTACGTCCTGAAAACAAAATCTAACTCATGAATCTAACAAACCATTCTACCTATTCAACATTATGTACCGTTAATTTACTCATCAAATTAAACTACACCGACACTTCCTGGAGGTAAATATGAAAATGTTTCGCTCCGAGTTTAACGACTCAAACAAATGCACATCTGTGTCAGCTTTTACGTTGTGTATAACTGAATAACTGTCTCGCTTGTTAAACGTTTGACCTCTCCGTCAATAAGATTAGTAGATTGTCTAGAAGTGGGATAAGTACAAGCATAAGCGCCCGAACGCCCTGGTACGACCGAGGGTAGGGAGAGTTAGCTATACCTCTCAAAACTCTCTCACATGGCAACGTGCATACAACCACTACCAGGGAAGTCATACTCACTGCATTCTCGTGGCGCGGGTGTTATTTAATAAATCGAAAGGATGAAAAGCGAATGTCTGGCGCCTGAACAAGGCTGGTGGACACATAGAGTCCGCCTGAGGGGAGTTGGAAAACCCTCATTCCAAACCAATAGTGCACACGGGATACAGGATCCTGATGGAACAAATGACGTGGGAACCTAATGTTGGTCACCGGCTACCATGGCACTGCATCTTCTTAGGTCGCTTCACCGCCTTGTGGATCAGACCTTTAGGTCGAAGGCTCCGGGTGTGGTGCCCTAAGAAAGCCACCTGCTTCGGTTTGGACACCCGGTCACTATCACAGCCCACACATAAATCAAGCCTCTTCGTACCAATATTTATGTGTTCAAATAAATAATTAATTAAAACACCCTCAACAACTCACATTTCCTCTCGTTTCTGCAAGTACAGACAACCACTTCCAATTAAAACATTCATCACTGTGATCGATTGACAAGACAAATAAAAATCACACTTTAATCGAATTCGTCTTCCAAACGTCTACAAGCCTCATCTTGCTACACTGCACCAACTTACTCCAAGGAAACAATCAAATCAGTTGGCCAAATGAATCGAACAAACGCTTCACTACTTACCTTCATCATCAACAAACAATAGTTGACTATAAATAGACATTCGCTTGGGCAACACTAGCAATTACCACACACAATACAATTAATATAACCTCAAAGAGTTTCTAAGCTATCTTTAATAGGCATTATCTGCACATCTGTCGTGAAATGTGTACAGCTGAAGTTTGCGTTCAGAACAACTTCTGTAAATACTAAAATATGGTAAAAGGATAATGCACCAATGTAGGTGGGAAATACTAGGACAAGGAAGGATCCGATCATCTCATGACACTTTAAACATTGGAATAACAGAAATGTAACTAGACAATAATATTCATTGTCAACCATTTACAGATAAAATTGTACAATAATATCTATCTGCAAGAATCCAACGGATAATCATCACGTAGTTGAATCGTTTGGCGGACAGTCTATAATACTTAATCAGCTCAATAAGTAACTAGTCGATGCATTTTGTAAATCTTCCAAAATGAACGTGCCCATGTTAAGTGGATCGAAAGTAAGAGAATATGTTGAAAACTTACACCAATCGGTCAGTAACTATTGGTTTCTATCACAACGTAACACTGACTTCTTATCGCCTAACTACTAGTTAACTGGCTTCTACAGATCATCACAAATCACTCATGATGATGATAAAAGCTGATGATAACACTCCAACATTGATTCTGCTAACAGGAGTTTGTTCAGCTTTTAACTGGATGCACCTATTACATCCCAATATAGTAACATCCGGCGACCAAAACCAGTGCTTCACTGTTGTATCAGAACAAATACCAACCAAATCATCCACTCTCCAGTTAGTATAGCAGACACTTACAGAATAATATTCTTCTAACATTTGATGCATTTGTTCAACTTCTTCTGAACTGATTGTTTTGGCTACAAATTGTCGGTTATACGTGACTAGAAATTTCGATCCAGATTTCCCACGCGTACTATCCCACAATGGTTGGTGTCTGGTGAAAGAGTCCTGAAGTACAAATCAGAAGTAGAAGAACTCTGTATACTAATGACAAATAACCAAATGTAATCTATTTATGAGAACTGTTCGTGATGATCAGTCGAAAATTGGTCACTCTGAGTAGGAATCGACATATTCGACACCTGCAGTAAATACAGTGCTATGGAACTCTGGATTCGTAAACACTATTCCATCTAAAAGTGGATACTTACAATGCTCTAGTTTGGTTGACATTCATCTTGCACCACACAGTGCACAACTATATGCTTAACAATGAGAACAGTTTCCTGACTACATTCTATGCAGCGACCACTTGATACAACGACCCACTTACACCAGTGAGTATCTGAATACACACCGAGTACAGTTAACATATAAACCAACGAACACTATTTGAAATTCTGGCCTCTTTCATTAAATGCTTCACCAACGCGTAATGTAGCTCCTATTTAAAAGGCTGCCAATTATCAGAATATATTAAGTAACAAATCATATCACTCTCACCAATTCAGGCTCAATTACTGTTCATTGTGTCTTTATTGTCGAGTGCAAGCATTCACTTATAATTAGCACCCAGTCAACAAATACCAAACGAACCACCAATTTCCTTTACAATCTAACAACAATACTTTTATGATGTTGAACCCAGTTAATTCAATGTTGAACACAACCAATCAATCAATTCTACATTGATATCACCAAATAATACGGCTTATACAAAAGAGCTAGGATGGAAAACGGTACAAGATAATTTTAAAACACATCACATGTTGTACTGTTGATTGATAGAAACACACAACATTCACTCAATAAAAGTAAAAGCTAGAGAATGGACATGACATTTGAAAACATATGAACGATATTAGGCATTGACAACTACATATTTGCAGCCATATTGTTGGAGAAAGGATAATAAGGCAACTGTTTAATTGTTGCAAGTATTGCCTCCGTAGATAATTATAAATCCATTTCGATCATGAAAATTCATCCACACACTCACACAACTAATAATGCAACTCATGGGCGTGTTCTCCAAATCGAGTGCAGTTTATTGTCTGAGTGACTGGTAGGATTCTAATCCTGTGCTCACCCTGGGTGGTGAGCAGATAGAGGTAGTCGAAAAGTTCGTGTATTTAGGTAGCTGCATAAGTGCTGGTGGTGGCGTGAGTGATGAGATCAATACACGTATAGTGAAAGCCAGAGCGGCTCATGCCAATCTGGGCCATCTTCGGCGCCTTCGTGATGTCAGTCTGACTATAAAAGGTCGGGTCCACAACGTGTCGGTGAGATTAGTTCTGCCCTATGTTTGTGAACCCTGGCTTCTCTAAGTTCAGGATGTTAGACGACTCTCTGTGTTTGATCACCGTTGTCTCCGAAGGATTGCTGACATCCAGTGGCAACACCATGTCAGTAATGCAGAGGTTCGGCATCGTGTGTTCGGGCACAGAGACGATAATCCAATTGGTGTCACCACCTTGAAACACCGACTTCGGTGGCTTGGACATGTTCTCCGAATGTCGTCCCAAAGAATTCTACGCCGTGCATTACTTTTCGACGCTGGGACTGGTTGGGAAAAGCGCAGAGGTGGTCAGTGTATGACATGATGTCGTGATATGAAAGAAAGCTACAAGGGGATGGCTTCTGTTGGTCCTTCTCGACTCCCTAGCTGGGGTTCGAGAGATGGTGCTACACAGTAGCTAGAGACGTTATCATATATGGCTCAGAATAGAAGCCAGTGGCGATCCTGTTGTAATCTGCTTTTACTTTCTTCATAAAAAGTGGTTGTAACTTCTTTAACTGAAAGATTTCTTCTGGCTGTACCTTTCTGTTTCTCTCATTATTATTGTTATTTCACTACCATACACTAATTTGTAGTCGTTACTGTTTTTTTCTTTTTACACGCACCTTACATACTTTACGTCTTCCCATTCTCATTGTTATTGTGTGGAGCATATGTATCTGGTGCTCCTTATACCAATATTTATGTGTTCAAAATAATAAATAAATAAATATTGTTTGAGCGATCCAAATACTGAATGACTATGTAAACTAGAGTAGATGGTGTGTGGTCTGAACTTACAAATTAGCAGTTAAACACTCTAATTAACTTAGCACAACCACAAATCCACTGTTGGATAGGTATATTTACAGAGAAATGACTGACAATAGTATATTACTTTAAAAAGTCAGGACTTAAAACTTAAAAGGTGAAATCAATAAGATGAGGATAACGGTGTTTGGAGATTCTCCACGTGCAAGATTTATTACAGACTAACAATCAAAGTTGTCGACTAAATCCATCACAAACAAAATGTAATTTCATAACAATTAAATACTAGACAAAACTCAGTATGTGCAAGTTATGAATTTCTAACACGATTCACAGGTACAAAGGAGGAGATATTACCATCAACATATAAATCAGCTCCGAATCACCTACCCAATAATCCATCTTGTCAACTCCAAATCGATCTCGCAATGACTTGAACACCATTGGGCAGTACTCCTTAAACTTGAATCTACTAGGCATATTCTCCCTAGAATCACATTCGTCAGCATAAGCCCACCATGAATACAAAAAAACTTACTTGTTAAAATGGTGGTTATTGACCTTCACTTTCATATATGCTTTGAAATCGTCTTTCAATAACAGTGCACGTTGCTTCACATGATTTAGAGCGGAAAACGAATAATTTATGCCCCACATCAGTACACTTTTTAATGGTTCATTGGCTCGAAAAAGTTTCAACTTCTGTTTCATGATCCTCACTTTCTTGTGTTTAGACACGGTGGCCATTATTCAAAGATGACAAAGGTTTGGAACGACAACTTAATGATTTAAACAGATTCTAAAAAGTCGAGGAAAGAGAACGGGCTAAAAATCACATACATATGCAATCCGCGTTTAAAAATCTAGAACTCAAAATCGTAGGGTGACATTAAATTTTATTAGATATTTGGCTGATCGATTTTATTTGCAAGAGTAGTGATATAAAAGAGTCGCTCTCTATTCACTTCTTCAAACCACCTTTACATGACATATGTTGAGGTAAATTTGATAGATTGTTACATGCCAGAAAAACGGTAAGTAAACCGATAATGGGAGCCTGTAGAATCTCAGTCCGGATTTAAACGCCTATGTCTTATCCTTACTGTTTAATAGCACAAATGCACTTTCTTGTCGTTATTTCCATACGTTAACTACATAAACTGATTAAAAATAAGCTGCATGTCTGTTGAGGATACCCACCTGTTTTTTGTCTCTGTAGTAGATTCAGTCTACTTTTACTTATTCTGATTATCTTCGAATGAAGTCGGAATTTCTGCATCAAGATTTTAAATTCACGGTCAGATGATTTATGGTAATCCATTAAGACTTGAATAAACTTCATTTGAGAGAATAACGTAAAATGACCAGGTCCAGAGAGTCTACAAACATATGGCATCTATGTTATTTTAGATCTTTGACATACCTCCCCCAAATGCCCTGGTATGGCCGAAAGCGGGGTGGGTTCGCTCTCCCTCTCGAAATACTCTCACACGGCCACGCGTATACAGCCTCTAACAGGTAAGTCCAACTCACTGCATTCTCGTGGCGGGGGTGTTGTTTACGAAAATGAGAGGACGGAAAGCGAGTGTCCGGCGCTTTAACCGGATCCCAAACCAAATCAATGGTGCACATCGGATACAGGATCCTGATGGAACAAATGACATGTGAGCCTATTGTTGGTCACCGGCTACCATGGCACTGCATCTTCTTAGGTCGCTTCACCGCCTTGTGGATCAGACCTTTAGGTCGAAGGCTCCAGGTGTGGTCCCCTAAGAAAACCACTTGCTTCGGTCTGGACACACGGGCAGTATCACAGCCCACACACAAATGATGAACTGTCTATATTTATGGAATAATTTCACATAACATTACTGAACTTTATCATAGGTTAGTTATTTAGCTAATCACTTTCTGGTTTCGAGACATCATGGACTACTAATAATCAAATTAAAACATCGGGTGAGAATCGCTGTGGTTGAGTGATCATAGCACTACTGGTCGTAGCTTATCTGACTTAAATTTAATGCTTGAGAACTCCAATGTTAATGCCACTTAGCCCTCCCAATATATAAGTTCTGGCTGTTTCATACTTTGAACGATAGCTCAAATTGATCTAGGCTATTCTATTAGGAAGAACTAGTTCGTAACAAGATTATGCACAGCATATTTTCTAGACAGTACTTTTGCAGTAATTAACATTTATTTTCGTTATCGAAAATTACTAGGAGGACCAACGCATCGCACAGCTTGATATTAAAAGGTGAAGATGAAGTTTAAGTTAAAATAAGAATCTAAGTATCCTAATTATGACAGTAGATAAATTTTTCAAAACAATTCTACACTACTTCTCCAAATAACTACTAACATACAATAACTGCAGCGGAATACCCAAACATCAGGTAAGTCCAGGATGAAGGATGTATGTAGTAATAATGTCACAGGACTGCTAAAACTACTACAAAACCTGCGACTGAAAACTTCGCTCATCTTTAATGCCAATGAATGATGTTCATCACTTCTGTGGCGTTACTGATGAGAAGACTGGTAGCACCGATTGGTGAAAGGAGGAAGATTATAGTAAGAATACATGAAGTTAAATCCTATCGCCATATATTAAATTTTAAAAAATTTAAATGGATAAAGAAAAAACGGCTGAAAAATTAGACACATTCCTACTAAAGCAAACAGGGAAGCTTTATGCAATAGATTAGGTACACTAGATGCTGCATATATGTAATCCTTATAAGGACCATCTTGTTTTCTAACGGAATGTCTCCTTTATTTCAGTATGCTGTGAAAGAATAAACGAATTCTCTAAAATCTTGTAGTTTTCAGGTGTAGCTATGTACAAATAGCTGTCAACTGAAACATTTTAATGTCTACTACTTATTATCAACTTCTCAAGGTCAAATGTTCCTCTTAAATTCAGGTCTTAAACTCTAAATGATCTCTCCCCACAATCTGCATAACCTTATTATGATAGCCATATGAAGCTTATTACTTGTGATAAATCGGTTCAACAAGTTCTAAAACAACAAAGAGAACTACCATACTTTGATAGCAGGACAGTCTGACCTTGATTTTTCAAGCGTTCGTACAACAGCAAAAGTTCACTCTTCAATGGTTGAAAGATATGATCAGACTCTTTCAGGTTTTCGATGTGAAGTTTAACCGAGAATGATTAGTATCAAATTTCAACGAGTTTTATGAGTCTATTAACAGATATATGAGTGTGCGAAAACAGTCCAGTTTTTGGTTGAGATCAAGAATTTATCCATTTTAGGCCACCATTAAAAACCTGAAAGCACTAGACGGTCTTTTCGTCCTGATATGGGACTCTTCATCAGAGCACATAAACGATCCCACACACGAGTGAAATTATATAAATCGGTAAATTTACGTTTTTTTCGTAGTAATCGTGATAACTTCAACCGTGTATAATCACAATGCCACCGAATTTCAAAACTATTGAGCTCGATATTGAGATTTAATTAAACTGTTCGTGACAGAGAAAATACTGAGTAAGTTGTAATGGGGATTTTCATTCTCCTTTTATCTGGTGAACTCAACTGATTCTCCCAGTATCTTTCAAAACAGCGGGTACTTTTTCGCGACCGGAATTCATCAGATGAAAGATTAGGCGTCGCCTCATAACAATGTGACTGATTAGAACAACATATGTAAGCGAACACTTGTCTTCAATTAAATCGTCATCAGGCATTGCTCTAATATACATGAACATTCATACGAAAATGTTAGACTAATCAAGGTAATTTGGGCCAATAATCACAACGAAATAGAATAAGTCACCACACACGATAGGTAAAAGTACAAGTTTATAGTAGAAAGACAGGTGTACTGACCGTAGTAAGAATAATTAAATACGATAAAAAAAGTTATATCAATAGTTAAACATTGGAAATAGAAGTTCAAAGATGGATAAATGGAATTAGAATAGCCATCGCAAAACATTAATACCATCACGTAATAAAAAGTAATTAAATAATTAGATAATGAAGAATACAAACGGAAAGACGCGAAAATTACAAACGAATACTGGACGTGAAAAAAAGGTTAATAACAACCAAAATAAAATAAAAAATAGAATGAAGGGTCATTTGTTAAGTTATGACTGGCCACGGGATATGGTTAAGAATTTCTTCTGTACACAAGAATTGGGGTTATATGTACGAATTCCTATGGGTTTAGCTATATGTAGGAGACAAGAACGAACTCCGTTGGGAAGTGATGGAGGTATACGATGGATCGATCGAAATGCTTCTGATTTATCTACATTATGGCCGCTATCATTAAGATGTGCCAAGATAGAACGGCGTATTGTTTTTATCTGGCATTTTATAAATTACCTAAATCGTCTCGATTGGTTCAATATTTTCGTATGAATATTCATGTATATTAGAGTACCGCCTGATGAAGACCTAATTGAAAACAATTGTTCACTTACATGTGTTGTTCTAATTTTCACAATGTGAATCTTTTATATGACTGATACCATATAATATATCTTAGTTTCGAAAATTTCCAAGATCGCTCACTGACAGTGCAGCGGTAAATAAATCCCCAAAATAAACAGCTCTGTAAGTTTTCGATATTGTATGGTGACCACATTAGTTTTAATGGACTCACCTAGCTGAAGGCGCTCGGTCAATAAGTTCAAAGTGCCTGGAATTGCCGGGACTGAAGAAAGATCAATTATCGGCAGTGATAAAAGCGGTGGGTGATGGCAAAACAGCATAAGCCACAAGTGAGGTTTATGAGGTGTTTTCATAAAACCAAACTTAACATGTTGGATTTGAAGAGTTTTTGATTGCAAAAGAATACATGAACATAAGCTCACGAAATCTGCCATGAATAATATAAGAAAGAGAATGCACTAACATTACATACCCCTGGATAGCCTACCCTCTGAAATTTTTATTTGAATTGGCTGTGATATATAGAAAGGACTGTGACGGTTCAGCCAGTGTTTAGCAGAATGGAAACACGAAAACTCCATAAAAGCATCTGTGGGATAGACTGTTTTAGGATCTACGTCATATCATGAATTCGGAAAGTGAAATTTTAATCAAACGTGTAAAGTACAGGTGTTTAAATACCAAATACCTAGGCTTGAAGTCATGTGGTATACCAGTGTGCATTCAAAGATACATCGATGTCAGTAGACCATATGTCTGTCATATGGGGAGTGGGGCAGAAAACTTATTTTGGTCTTTGTGTCATTTAGATATGAGCGCAAGAAATTTACTAAAGTACTAAAGTCCTTGGTGGTGTTTACTTCATCTTGTAATGAAAAATTCAAAAAATACAGGAAAACTGAAAGTGGTTTTTGATTGTACTTGTACGTTTTCAGAGAGATCCCTGAATGACATGATTTATCGAGGTCCAGACACCACTGTCAAGTCAATGTACATATTCTTACGTTTTCGCAGAACGCCGTGGCCATCTCTGAGCGTATGGATTAAACGTTTATGCAAGTGTATGTGTCTGAGTCAAAACGTAAAGTTTTCGGTTTTTTATGGTGATTGAATGGTGACAAATCGGGGATTTTGCCGGATTTCAGACGACTTCATTTTCGTTGAGGACCACCTCGTCTCAATTTTGTGTGAATTTCGTTATGAATAATACACCAAATGTTCTCCAGTTAGTTATGACTGTTTCTTCATAGACAATGTGCATAATGGTTTCTATATAGACGACTCTTTGATGATTTTTTGCACCTATGAACTAGCGAAGAATTTCGTCATACAAATAATAAATCATAATCCATAGGAGGTTTTGAAATGAAGAAATGGATAACTAACTCGGAAAAAGTGAAGGCTGTTTTGGTTGATTTACGTAGGGAAGATTCTTTGGTTAGCATACAAGTAAGATATAACACTACTTATCAGACTTCGGGCTTAGAATGGAATATCAAACAATGTGTATTCGAGTTTTACGTCAATGAATTAGAGAAACCTCCGACCAAACGAGGAACGTATTTTTCCAGTTCTTTTGCGAAGTGGATTTATATAGAGATTGATCGTGTTGTATTAGATCGAAGGATTAGAGAGTACTTTTATAGCCTCATTCTTATGCATACGAAGGCTGAGCAGCGGTCGTCCCACAACTTGACTAGTTAGACTTTGAAGGAAAAACAGAAGGTGAGTAAATTCAATTCTTGGGTTGAATATCTAACATTGTTGGAAGATGATATTTCTGGGTCGACGACTGACTGTCCGGAACTTACCTTAGAAAAGATCGACTCGAATAGACTAACCACTATGGTCAACTTGAGCTAGATGAAATATAGAGATCCACTTATTATGTCCCATTACTCTAAACAGATTAAATTATTCAGAGCTTCAACCCGGTTTGAAATGTCCTTGGAGTTTCTAATGGTTCTGCATTGACTGAACGTGAAGCATCTGTTCATTTGAGATGCTTAAGGGTTAATGAGCCTAAAGTCGCCACGTGTAAACGTTTACTGATAGCACAGGAAATATATGGAGGACTACTTATTTGAATTAGAAATGACGATACTGCTTGACAGATTACCCTGTTTTGGAGGTCATTTGAACTACTGAGCGTTCCAATAACCGCTGAACAACCGATAGTCTTGTCCAGCCGAAACTTCGTGATCGAAATGATCTCAGAAACATCTCAGGTATTGGTCACAATTCACAAAAGCTTCTGGATAGTGAAGTGAACGAACAGTTGGGAAGGTGATAAAAAGGTGTAACTTGTGGACGGTTTGTGATAAGTCAAAATCAACAGGTGATGGCATTCCTGCCAATCTATAGGATGCAGAAAGACTGGTAAGATAACTGAAAAAGAGATGTGGACGTGTGTTCAAATGTTTTTGGCACTCAGAGACAGTGTATACTGAAATTTTATGCGGTCTAAACACTAATTCATTTCTAATTACTTTATTACGTGTTTTGAGGAGAAGGGAGCGGCCTACAGAATAATACGGCGATGATGGATCTAATTTTGTGAATGTAGCTTTGAACTATGAACTTTTACACAACATTGGGATCAGCGGTATTCATGTGACAGACTAACGATGGAGAAGATTCAATGGGGCCTAAACCGGCTATCATCCATCCACAGAAGTGGAATAAGATGAAAATAATTAGTTTTTAGATTGATTGTTATCACTGATCTACAGAGGGCAGGCTTCAATTGAGTAGATCTTTGCTCACTTATTTGTTCACGGCTGGAAGGATATTAAATGGTCGACCTTTTACCCCAGTGACACAAGACTATGATAATCAACTATCTTTGTCTCCGAATAGCTTGCCGTTATTGAAGGAATGTGATGAAATAGTCGAAGAAGATAACGCTAGCGATACACGTGGCAGATTTTGAAAATAAGTTCATGACCTTACCAACGTATTTTAAAAACGTTGGCCAGGAGAATATTCCCTGTCCTTACTGACACGTCAAAAATGATTGATCGAACACTGCAATTTCAGGGAATGCCGTGTGGTTGTTGCGGCGTCGGATATTTCATTTCATGGGAAGTGGCCGTTAGGAGAGAGGCTATGTGATAGATAACTACGGTAGTTGAAACACCCTTTGTTGTAACAAGATCAAATATGGCCTTTTGAACAAACTAAGTAATCAGTCCGGAAAGGATAGAATAATATTCATGGAATAATAGAAACATTTATTTTTTGGAACTGGTGAATGTTTTATGTCTCTTAGCGAATTATCCGCTTAATGCAACTTATATTAGACTATTCGAATTTGTTGAACAATTAATGGTAGGATTATTAGATGGTGACATTTCTTCGGGTAACAATGTGAATTGAAATTTATGACTTTATACAGAATCATTCTTCTTTCAACCATTTTGTTCAAAACTGGGTAAGAGAACGAGTATGTGAAATAACCTTCAGTTACCGTTAACTCTAAACCAATTTGAGTTGGAACTAGCGATCCCTCTTTGAAAAGAGATATGACTGTCTTGAATCAAGCGCAGATGTGTTCAACAAAACCAGTCATAAGAACTCAGAAACAACCCCTCAACAGATTGACTCTCACTCGGTAGGTTACAAAGAATAATGTGACCTGACGATAGTTTAAGATACAAGTTACTCCAAATTACTCCAATAAAATTATTTTACTGATACCTCACTATTGCAATTCGCGGTGCAAAACTCGACGAATCTTAAATTAAAAAGGATAAAACTCAGGTGGGCTCATAACTTTGATAATTATAGATGGAAACTCGATGAACATGCACGCATCATGTTCTTATTACATTTGAAAATCTCTCAATGCAATTCTCAATTTATTTAATGTGAAGAGCATTTCCGTTCAAATTATCAACCTAAAAGTATTGGCTAATTCAACTAAAATATTCCCAGAAATTTTGACGAACACTTAACAGTTAATACCTACATATCTTGGACTTCGTTGACTGAACATCTTATATAAGCCCCCAGCAATTTACATCGATGCGTCTTCATATTTGGATTACACGAATTGAAAAATATATATTCCATTGACCGTCACTCTCTTACGTTATAACTGAACAATTAAATATGGAATGCATCATATACTCATGGTCTCTGATCCCATTATTAACCTGGATTATACTTAATAATAAATGTATACTCAGATATTTTATTTACTTAAACGAGCACTCTAATCACTCAGCTGCACATAATGGCAAACAACTTTAGTAAAAGAGAAATTTTACCAACTTCTAAGCTAACTAAAAAGTCAAAATCTATAACCCCTATGTCTGACGATTCAGTACCTGACAATGTTAAACCTTTATCTTCTGAACCCTATAAGTCTTATCCACAAATATCACTATCACTACCTGATTCTCCATGTAATAAACCCTATATCTCTTCTTTCAGTATGCTAACGGTAGGACTGGTTGGTGTAAAAGACACATTATCCGCGTACATCAAAAAGTCAACACAGTCAACCAGACAGGAAATATTACTAAAGCCTTAATTCAAAATTTCAAAAGCCGAAAGGTCTAATAGTTTATCTCCCACATATGAAAATACTGATGGAAATAGTACTGATATCCGTCAGCTGCAAAACCCTCTAACCGAAATTAACGGTAGACTTAACCAATTAGCACCCCTCACACATATGAGGCCTTAATACTGATTAAAGTCTTGAATAAATCACAAAAGCTGACCGTATTCTAGAGTTTTTGGCTGAAGAAGGGACGAAAATGGTTATCGCTTCTTACAATGCAGTTACATACAATCTCTCTGATCGCACGTACCCAAATAATTTGAGGGATATTTGCCTTAGGTTACGCAGTATGCGGAATGTCAACTGCGAAGTCTGCCGCCTTAGAAGAAAGTCGGACAGATCAACACCCCCTCATGTTTCATTTTAGCCGCTTATTAACTTAGCAACGTCTTAACTACGCCAAGCCACACCGACACGAACATTTCATCGGAACATCGTCATCACGCTCCTCGAGGCAATCCTCGAAAGATTACACGTCACAGAGCGAACACCCGGTCACGCTCTCACTTTTTTCATTAAGAGCTGCGCCTATTTGAAATTTCCGTCCAGCCAAAGTGATCACAGCTATATCAGTGGGTAGCTTTGCAGGGAGACTTTGCAAACATGTGCTCATTCATATATCGCCATCTCCTCGAACCAACCGTGTCTGATGCACTTTTCATAAATTACCACGGTTATCATTCTCATATATCGGTAACTACTTCCTATGCCTCTTGTTATCGTCTTCATTTCCCCTATTATTATCCTTCAAATTCCGTCTTCTCAAACATTAACAATTAATTAACTTGTTTGTTATTCGTGGAACAGTCATCTTGTATCCACACTGGAATTATCATCAAATGGTAACCAACCAACCTCCTGTATGTTAATGTGATCAATGCCAGTATTCAGGATTCTTATTGTCCTGATAAAAATGTACACACTCAAGCTACAAGACATAAAAATCCACGAATGACTGCCTAAATGATTAAAAATTAGTGCAGTCGAGTGGCTAGCAAACCCCCCATTGAATATTGAGAAATGCCTGATACCGCGTAAAGAACCCACTTGGTTTATACAAGCTCCTGACGAAGATATTACAGATCAAAGATCTTAAGTAAATGAAATCAAAAATAAAAATGATTTTGCTAACGTGTCTACTTCTTTCACCAAATGAGTGGCAATTTTAACTATTGGGTGAATTTTGTTTTATGTCAAATAAAAGTCCACGAAACAGCAACAGAAACTCAGTCTACATAGACTTCAGTAAGGCTTTTGACAAGGTGCAAACTAACAGACTGCTATTGAAGTTAGAAAATCTCGGTATTACCGGACTTTTTTCAAATGGATTAAGGTCGTAAACAGAAAGTAAGAATGAATTCCAAGTGCTCCATCTGGAGACTAGTACTTAGTGGAGTACCTCAAGGTTCCGTCTTAGGTCGTTTACTTTTTACAATGTATGTTAGTGATCTTCCATGTATAGTACAGTCTCCAATGTTATTACGATGTAAAGATCTGGCGAGTAATAACTGGAGACACAGACGCATGTTCTCTTCAGGCAGACTTAAATAATATGATGAACTGGTCTAAAGAGTTGATGATGTCTATCAACACGACAAAATGTGTCTAAATGCACATGGGGATACAAAGATTAATAGGTATAACATAGGGAAAGTGCCTGTACCCGAGCTTTGGTCTCATTGGGATCTTTTGGTTACAGTGAGTCGTGATTTTAAGACGACGGCACATTACCGGGTGGTTGTAACTGAGGGGCTTAGAACCCTCTGGGCTTTAATACGGACATTCTCCGAGTTAGATACTACCATGTTCGTTTCAGTGTACACAACGTTGGTGAGAACTAAGCTTGAGAACTGCATCAAGGCCGCAAGCCCCTGTTTAAAAGGTGACTCACAAATCCTAGAAAAAGTACAGAGGGTGGCTACACGTGCAGTTCCAGAACTCTGGGGTTTACCATACAAACGGCGGCTTGAAAAGCTGGACATCTTTAGTCTGTCCTATCGCAGATTAAGGGGAGATCTAATCTTGATGTACAGAATACTGAGAAATGATTTCGTACCTAAGTTATTCTCTCTTTTTCTTCCCACTAGATCGTGACATCTCGGAGGACGTAGCAAGTGAGTGGAAAAACCAAGAACGAACAAACCACCCATGGCATACAGGTTTTCACACCGAGTCATCAATACTTGGAACCTGCTGCCCGAAGCAGTGATGTCCGCACCATCAATTGACTTATTCAAGAGAAGACCGGACAATCACAGAACCATACTAGAAAAGGAACAACATGAGCCATAGGCCTTTTTTCCTTACTACACAAATCTGTATCTGTTGTGTTAAAAGTGGCTAACCAGGTGAATCCTCGAGGTCATATGTGCCATTTGACTCTCAAGGTCTTTAAACCAAATCGGAGGGTTTCGGCTATTTTATAGAAAGGTAATTCGATTGTGCATCCAAAAGTATTTTACTAATAAACTCAGAATATTCACATTTTACGACATTAATTGAGTTGAACTCTATAAATTCATGTTGTTGTTTTAAATTGTACATTGTGTAATTCCAACGTATTTGCGACTCTTACCAATTGTTTGCCGCTTTTACTTTTCATATTAGTGTATAAACCTTGGCTTTAAAAGCGTAATCCAGAAACTTAAAAAAACCCATCACTTAAACCACTTCCAGTTGACTCGAGCTCTCATGAGAGCAAATGTAGGACAAAAAATTGATCAACCTTAGGTAAATTTCGGGACACTCTCATTAAAAATAATGGGTGGATTTAGGGAAAATGGTACTAAATAACCCCAGATTTAACTACGTCTGGAATTTTCTCCAAAATGTTCCTAGATCTAGGAATTTTATTTAAAATCTTGTCCTTCCCTTGTGTATGTTAACGCCCACTGATGCAGAGGCTTCTGCCACACTGACTGTCTTGATCTGTATTTGTTGATGTGTATGAGGTAGGAGAGATAGTTCATCTGCCAGGTCCAAGTCATCTAGTCGCATCCAACCTGTCTACTTCATTCCGTGCATCTTACCAGATATGGAGGTCTTCATAATCCAGTCCAGGAGAGTAACCAGCCTTGTCTCACTCCGGTCCTCACCTCGAGTGCGTCTGTCATCTGTCCTCCATTCACGACGTTGCGGTGTAGCCCGTCGTATGAATTCCATGTGATGTTGACGATTTTCTGAGGTACACCGTAGTGTTAAGTAAGTTTCCTTAATGTTCTATCCATACTGTCAAATGCTTACTCATAATCAAGAAATTTAATGTAGTGACGAGTTCCATCCAACTGATTGTTCAGCGATGATCCCTAGTGTTGCGATTTGGTCTGTGCGCACCCGATCCTTACAGAATCCAGCCTGTTGGTCCCAAAGTTGAGTGTCTACTGAGACTTTCATCTGGTTCAGCAACACTGTTGAAAACTTCTCGCGATACTGACGGTAGTGTGATGCCTTTATGGTTCTCGCATTTTCTCAGATCTCCTTTCTTTGGTTTTTTGATGGGGTGTTCTTCTTTCTAGTCTGTCGGCACTTGTTCTTCCTCCCATATCTTAAATAGAACATGGAGCATGATTGCAGTGACTTCTATGTCTGACTTCAGTGCTTCAGGTCGTATATTGTCAGGCCCTGCTGCTTTCTCACTCTTGATTCGTTTAATGGCCATCCTGCTTTCTCCCGTCGTTGGTGTAGTAACATCTATAAAAAGGTCTGTAATAGCTGCTTCGATGTCTAGTGGATTCAATGGAGCTGGACTATTCAAGAGTTCCTCGAAGTGTTCCAACTATCTATCCCTCTGTCCTTCAGTTTCAGTGATTGGCTTGCTTCTTTTTCACTGACCACCCTCTTTGGTTTACTATGTTTCCCTGTTGGTTTCTTCGTCGTTTCACATAGTTGTTTCATATTTTCTTTTCTTGCAGCTTTTTCCGCTTTTGTTGCTAGCTCTTCCACGTATTTCTGATTGTCAGCTTTAATGCTCCACTTCGCTCTGTGTATTCAGCTTGTGCCTTGACCTTATCTGTTCTTGTTCGGTTGTTGTTAATTGCTGTTTTCTTGTCGTTCCTTTCTTGAATCTTGTCTATGGTTTCGATGGAGATCCATTCCTTACGATGATGCTTCTTGCGACACAGAACCTCCTGACACGTTGAAGTTAATGCTCTTTTGATCTCTTTCCAGTTGTCTTCCACAGTAGTTTCTTCTTTGAGTCAGTATGCCGAAGGAAGGCTGTATTGAACCTTTGTAATGCTGTTTTTCCAGTTGTCCAATGCTTCTTTAGCATCAATTTCATCTTGGCAAACACAAGGTGATAATCTGAGGCTATGTCAGCTCTTCTCTTGGTCCTCACGTCTTCCATTAACCTTGTGAATTTTTTACTGATGCAAATATGATCTATCTGGTTCTCCATGGTGTGATCTATGTAACTTTGTGTATGAGTTCGTGTGGTAATATTGTGCCGTCTACAACCAGTTTGTTGAATATACAGAGATTTGCAAATCTCTCGCCATTCTCGTTCCTTTCTCCTAGTCTATGTCGTTCCATGATATCTTCATAACCGTCGATACTGCAAGAATACATATAAATGTTGATTCCACTTGCTCGTTTGAAGCAATCTGTAGTATTGGTTTTGTAGTTGACGTGTCAACTGATGACACATTCGATTTTTTAAGAGCTGGTATGTAATAATTAAGTAAATCAAGATATTCCTGACAATCAGTAAGTCGATGACTTTAAAATAGTTTACTGAACCACAGCCAGCACCCACTTCTGTCGCCTCCATTTCCTCGGAGGTGCAAACGTAGTATATGATAGTTGTTTTCGGTTCTCTGAGAGTTGTGTTAACTAATTAAGACTACAAATTCACCTTTTCGGTCTCTTGGATTGATATGGAAGTGTGTCATTCAGGTTCACCTTCGTGCTGACATTGAGAAAAAATTCCATCGATGAATACAACTCAATGCCAACATCCAGGTCTCCTGTATGAATAATGCGATCACAGTATACCACATTACTACACCACCTTGCATTTAAGAAACGTTCAACCTTCCTCTGAATCCATCCGACCCCATATCTGTGTAAGTGTTGCATTTCCATTGAATGCCCATAACTGTGTACGCAGTAAACAATTGCGTAGGACGACGTAGAACTGTTATTCCTTCATATCCTAAATAACGTAAATTACGAAAATTATCCAACAACATTATTTATTTACTTAAACACATGAAAATTGGTACAAGGAGGCACCATATAGATATACGCCACATAAATCATTCGATTTATGTGAGAGTTGGGATACTGCCCAGACCGAAGCAGGTGGCTTTCATAGAGGGCCACGCCCAGAGCCTTCGATTTAAAGGTCTGATCCACAAGGCAGTGGAGCATCCTAAGGAGATGTAGTCCCATGGTAGCCGGTGACCAACAAAAGATTCATACGCCTTTTGTTCTTTTAGGATCCTGGATCCCGTGTGCACCATTGGTTTGGAATGAAAGTTTTCCAACCCCCCTAGGTAGGTCCTTCATATCCACTAACCCGGTTAAGGCGCCGGACATTCTCTTTTACTCCTCTAGGTTTCGTAAATAACACCCGCGCCACGAGAAGGTAATGAATATGACTTCCTTGGTAGTGGTTGTATGCACCTCGCCATGTGAGAGCATTTTGAGAGGGAGAGCTGACTTTTCCCACTCCCAGTCGTACCAAAGCATTTTGAGGCTGTAGATAATACAATAAACTCATTGTCTACACAAAAAGATTGAATACGTTGGATATCTAGTTAAAAAGTGATGTCACTAAGTGACAAGTTATTGAACCAAACAGTATGTAAAACAAAGTAGCCAATTACATGGAAAATATAGGGATTTCAGTAATTTGTCCTACCCCTTTACCGATTTTTTTCATAGTTTTCTATGATTGTTTACTAGGTACTTTACGCAGCGATTTCCGATACACCAGTTTGTAAAGCTTTTAATAAGTTGATACTCAAACTAGCAAAAACACCACAGCTGTGCTGAACTCACTGACGTTCTATATTCTTTTGGGTAGCAAGTAAGGACTAAGTGTACCAATCTGCGTCACCACAGTGCATGTTTGACATCAGGACATTGACAGACAAACGAAACAAAATTCAAGGAGGTGAAAATAATACTACCATCAGCAATAAACTACTTTGATATCAAGACAGATAAATGAAGTGAAGTTGTAGGAGAAAAAGTGTACAGTAGTGATGTTTTCAAGGTTCACTTAATCTGCACTTAACAACATTCAGTGATTTCATGGACTAGTGTTACAATTTGGTTTTGTCACCCCTTTGTTTTCTAATCAATATTGCTCGTATCCACTGAGACCACTTGGTAAGTAATAGCGAGGTTAGACGCAGGGTATCAGGGATGATGGTGGATCAGTTGATGAGGTTGTAAACCTTCATTGACTGATATGGTTAGGCCACGTGTTACGTATGCCTGAACACCGATTACCACGACGTGCAATGCTAACCGGTGTTGGAGATAGTTGGAAGAAAGTTAGGGGCGGCCAAGCCAAAATGTGGCATCAGTGCTTGAAGTCACTAACTTCTAGTCTGAGCCATGTTGGAAGATGCAGACTACTTGGTTGAGGTCCGCGGTACTATCGTAACAAATAGTTGGAGACTCTTGGTGACATGGCACAGAATCGATCACACTCTCTGTCTTCCCCTAAACTAAGAAATTAAAATTGCTTCATATCTTTCTTTCTACGAACTAATTCTTTCTTCCTGTACTATGTCCTTGTATGCAATCTTTTATATATTACCACCACTGTATTAACTACTGTGAATACAGTGTTCATCTTGCTGTGCTAGTGAGCTGTGGCAATTTGGATTGATGCATATATGTGTCTGGTTCTACCTCGTAGCTGACTGACTTGTCTTCTAATGTATTCTTATCGTACCCAACATTCCTCATGAAGGTAGATTGTAAATGAACATAAGTAGCACATATTTTAGTCACATCAGATTCAAATATTTTCAGCCTATTCCTCAAGTTTTAAGAAATAAAAGTGGATAGATACATTCTCATTAGTCGGGCCAGTCCTGAACAATACCTCTAAATGATTAGCAGTTGTCTTTTAAAAATCAAGAGAATTGACTCATAGCTCCAATTTAAATCCAGTGTAAAATAATAGCTTGGTTCAATAGGTTGGCTACATTATGCTGACTAATGCTTATTCAAAGTAAGTCTTAAGTAGATCATTCTTCCATTTATCAAGAGTAATAAGGTTAGTGATAAGTTGTGATTCCATAAACTGATGCCTCTAAGAAAGTTGTGTAATGTTTTTTTAATCAACGTTTTAAAGTAAACTGGTTTTGTCTGTTGGCATGTATGGAATCTTCAAGGACATTGTTATAGAAACTACTGTTCCTCCCAGTTGTGAGTAGCAGTATACTAGCAAATTAAGTCTTCCTTTTATTAACTCCCGGTAAATTCTATGCGGTTCATAACTCTGCTTTACACCATTTCGATCATTTATACCAAACACAAAGGATACTTATACTTGCTCAACAGTCCGACAAGTCAAAGTCAGCCCAAGCATAAATATTATAATTGATTTCTTTATTCGGAATTGACATTATTGTTCGGAGTTTGTCCATCTATTTTCTTTTATGTGGTCCTCAAGTGTATTATCCTACATCTCTTTACTGACTTCACCTGATTTATCTGCTCCTATGTTTCAGTACTTTACTGTTTTTGGGTTACATAATTGATTTAATTCCGAGTCGGTCTTTGACTGTCTATTGCCATCACATATTAGTTGACAGAATTTTCACAGTGATGGATGAATAAAAAGATTGCTATTTGTTGATGTTAATATTTAATGCAGACAATAGAGTTATTTGGGTCAGCATTATTTGTAATATAGCTGTATCTGTAATCATTCTACGCTTTCCGTAGAAATACGCGCTGGAAAGAAACCTGTTGTTGAGGATCCCATAGAGTTTCTTGAATCCTATCACTATTATATGTGTATTCACTGCCTGCTACTTCTCTATTTATAAAAACTTCCATATTCAGTACTAAATTCTCTATCCTCATTTATCCTAAGCAAATTTTAAACAAAATCATGGAATTCAATCATGACACACAAAATTTTAAGTTTGTGGTGGGTTAATAAATCATTCGATAGGCAGCCGTTCTAATGATTTTATTTTCAAAATAAATAAAAATAGCTAACACGAATGACAGTTTGATTGTCCTGAACTTATATTATCTTTCCTTGTTTATTATGCCTCCGTTCGGCAGTATAATAGTAGCATAATAATCGGTTCCAAGAAAACCTCCATCGACCAGAACGAGACACGAAAAAAGTTTATGAAATCATTTACTTTTGATCGGATTTGTATAAAAAGTTCATCTTCTTGGTTAGAGTCTGTCCGATAGCTCCAATCAATGGTTAAATAACTCAGGCCATTATATTTTTTCTATTTTATTCCATTATTTCTGAAAACACCCTTCATAATTAGTTTTTACTATCATTGACACACTACTATTTCAACTCTTCCATATTGTTAATTCTATTCACTATGCTAATATGAGAGGTGACAAGTCCTGTCAGATAACAGGTTTCAAACTATCTAAACAAAAAGTATGGAGTTTTGGTAAAGTTTTGTTCTCTGGAATTTCACACAAAGATCTTAAAATGATTATTTTTATACTCTCCCTTTATTTCTTCCACTTTGTAGCTTTGAAAAGCGTCTAAACCTATATCATGGAGGAAAAAGGCGATCAAGTCCTGTTGAGTCATGATAATCTCGATAGAGCTTCACCTGATTTGTGGCCAGAACAAAGTAATTGTCCTATTTATACTTTCATATAGTTTCTGGTGTCACCGAATTCCTTACGTCCCGGCAAAATGAAATAAACTTACACACCCCTCCGAAATATGCTACTGATTTGGATAAAGAAGATCTGGAACTTATTCATGGTAAATTTGTGTTGTTGTTGTGATAGTTATATTCATACGTTAGATTTTGGGAGCCTATCAACTCAACAGCTAATGGATAAAATTAAACATTTACAGAATTTAGCTTATCAAGTTGGATTGGAAGAAGGTTTGTTTAAAATAAAAAAATAATACAAATTTGTTTCAGCAAAAGAAATGACCCGCGGGAAATTTTTAAATATTCTTGGGAAACGCTAATTTGTCGGTTTCATGAATGAATATAACTATAGTTCATTCGTCTTCGTTTAAATGATTTATTAAACTAACGTTATTTATGATGTTATGGTGGCATTTTTTGCTGTTATATATATAGACGTGTATATATTGGTATATATCTGTGCTTCTGTATAAGTGTTAATGTAATGAGTATGCATCTCCGTTTTTCGTCAACTTAAAATAATTATATTATCGGTAAACTGTTCTTCATTACGTAGTAAAAAAAGCATCATCTTGACTTGAAAAAAGATGAGAATATTTTAAGCATTCAAAAATTATGTATTTGTAAGAAGAATCAACAGTAACTACATCACATACAGACGGATATTAGTGTCATAGTTCCTTTTTCAAAGTTAGTTCAATTTTAGTTGCTCAGTATTATGCATTCCTTAGCAGAATTGAATTTTTACATCATTCCCATAGGTGCTCTAATTCACTTTTCATTATTGGCTAGACTGTATCTATGTTTGACTCTTGTCACATCCCGAAAGTCACTTGGAATTGGGGTGAAAGCTTCTTCACCAGTGTGATTATAACAATACCATGTAGGGAGTGGAAAGCTTGTCAGTTCCTTTTTTCTGGAGATGTGCTTTGTAGTTAGTGCATTTTCCATCAGGGATGTACACGGACTAACCTTGATGATCGAATTAGGGTCAGTAACCTGAAGCAGATGGTGAGCGGATGTATGTAACACAGGTTATGACCATTTCAGCTGACGAGTGCTTAAAAATTCACTAGCTAATTATCGTTCATCTTTCACTCTTTGCCTAATAAAAGATAGCTCTGTACTGCATAGTTATAGGTACATTGATTTCTTCGTTTTATAGGTTTTAGTTACTGAGTAACTTCATGTTTTCGAAAGATCTCATCATCTTCCCTATAATAAGTGTATTGAGGATTATTTTCAAAATAAGGACGATTAAGACATGAAAAACCGGGCTCACCGCAACTTGATCGGTCGAATGGGTAAATATTGCAATATTTTTAATACTGTACAAGAAACAAGTGAAAATAACTAGATTGCATGGCATTGTCACAACACAAGAGTCACATAACTTGTTGAACTTTGAAAGCTCAACAGAAACAACTTTACCGAATATCCAATTAATTCCATATTAGGAATGAAGAGCAGTTTTTGTTTCAATTTCATTCGCATCCAAAGTAAACATTTTTTGATAACCTTTGGCACACTATTCTGGTTATCGGATTATAATTGTTATTATTTATTTATTTAATTGAACACAAATATTGGTACAAAAGTGCGGCAAATATATATGCGCCACACAAAACAGTGAGAATTTAAAGAGAAGGAAAAAGAAAAAAGGTAAGGAGCGTAAAAAAAGAACGATAACGAAGAGATTGGTGTAAGGTAGTGTAATAATAATAATAATAATAATAATAATAATAATAATAATAATAATAATAATGGGGGAACGGAAAGGCACAATCAGAAGAAATCTTTCAGTTAAGGAAGTTACAACCACTTTTTATGAAGAAAATAAAAGGTTACAGGAAGATCGCCACTGGTTTCTATTCTGAGCCATATATGATAACGTCGCTGGCTACTGTGTTGCACCATCTCTCGGACCCCAGCTAGGGAGTCGTGAAGGACCAACAGAAGCTATCCCTTTGTAGCTTTCTTTCATATCACGACACCATGTTATACACTGATGACCTCTGCGCTTTTCCCAACCAGTCCGAGTGTCAGCAAATAATGCACGACGTGGAATTCTCTGGGACAATATTCGTAGAGCATGTCCAATTCACCGAAGTCGATGTTTCAAGATGGTGGCACCGATTGGATTATCGTCTCTGTGCCCGAATACACGATGCCGAACCTCTGCATTACTGACATGGTGTTGCCACTGGATGTCAGCAATCCTTCGGAGACAACGGTGATCAAAAACAGAGAGTCGTCTAACATCCTAAACTCGGAGAAGCCAGGGTTCACAAACATAGAGCAGAACTACTCTCACCGACGCGTTGTGGATCCGACCTTTTATAGTCAGACTGACATCACGAAGGCGCCGAAGATGGCCCAGATTGGCATGAGCCGCTCTGGCTTTCACTACACGTGTATTGATCTCATCACTCACGCCACCACCAGCACTTATGCAGCTACCCAGATACACGAACTTTTCGACTACTTCTTTCTGCTCACCATCCTGGGTGAGTGCAGGATTCGGACCCTGCCAGTCTTGTAGAAGTACTTTGCACTTCGAAGGTGCGAATCACATACCATACCTACGGACACTGATTGCCAACTGATTAAGTGCGGATTGCATGGCATGGGCATTATCACACAGTAAAACAATATCCGCATACTCAAGGTCGAGAAGTCTTTCTCCAGTCAACATATCCACACCGCCATTACTTACATTCATCAGAGCTGTTTCCAGAATGTCATCGATGGCAAAGTTGAAGAGGAATGGTGAGATTGGGCAACCCTGCCTAACCCCACTGCTTGAATGGAACAATGGAGAGAGGTGGTTGCATGCCCTCACTTTACTTGAGGTGTTTTTATATAGGGCCTTTAGGATGTTAATAAACTTCTCAGGCACACCCTTCTTCAATAGACAATCCCAGAGAACAGTCCTGTCCAACGAATTGAAGGCAGCCCTGATGTCAAGAAACATTATGATTGTTGGCCTGTGATAAGTATGACGGTGTTCTAACATCTGGCGGAGGGCGAAGATATGATCAATACATCCTCGACCAGAACGAAATCCAGCCTGCTCCTCGCAAGTCAATCTTTCTCGGGTTTTGAACAATCTACGAAGTGTGACGGAGGTCAATAGTTTGGACGCAATCGGAAGTAGACTTATTCCCCGATAGTTGTTACAGGAACGACGTGAACCCTTTTTAAAGATAGGGACAACTATTGACTCATTCCGTGATGTTGGAACACTCTCTAGTTCCCAGACCTCTGTAAACAACGTAGTCAGTTCCTTAACCGGAAAGTCACCAACAGTATTAAAAAGGGCCGGAACTGAGTCATCTGGGTGTGGCCATTTGTAGCGCTCCAAGGGTTGTAGTTGATTGCGTACTTCCATCCAGTTGGGTGGATTAGTCGTCGCAGGTCATGGAGGATGGGACAGTTGGACCGTTGTTGCCGGAGCAACAGGCCAGTTGAACTGGCCTTCGAAAAATTCTGCCCATCGACCAAGAAGTCGGTGGATGTTAATGATTGGCATCCCATCATCCTCACAGATTGTTTCGCTCACACCAGACTTCTTGTTGTCAGTGCCTCGGATGAGTTGGAAAAGCTTCTGGTAATTACCAGACACAGCTGCTGCTTCCAGCTCATTAGCACGCTCCGACCACCAGGCTTCTCGGTCCTTACGCAAGCTTTGCTCAATTTCATTACGTAACAGCCCTCGTTTGTGGTCAAACTCACGGTCACACGGGGTAGACCGACGGCCTTCGATGAGTTGTAAGGAACCAGAAGAAACCCAGTGCTTATAAGCGGGACGTTTCGCGAACCCACAACTGACTGTGCCCGCCGTTTTCATGGCGTTTTGCAATTGCAACCAATACTCATCTATACTTTTCGGTGGAATGGTAGCTAGCCTAGAGGCTAGCTCGGTTCGATACTTACTTGCAACAGAATTGCTGACATCAATCTTTTGGTGGTGGTCACTTCGTTGGCCACTAAAAAGTAAGGCAAGATTGGCGCAGACCAAGGCATGGTCAGAGTCCAGATAGGTACTCCAAAAGGAGCGGCAGTCTTGCACACAACCACAGCCCCCAAATGCCCTGGTATGGCCGAAAGTGGGATGGGTTTGCCCTCCCTCTCGAAATACTCTCACACGGCCACGCGTATACAGCCTCTGACAAGGAAGTTCTACTCAAGGCTTTCTCGTGGTGGGGGTGTTGTTAACGAAAATGAGAGGACGAAAAGCGATTGTCCGGCGCATTAACCGGATCCCAAACCAAATCAATGGTGCACATGGGCTCCAGTATCCAGTGGGAACAAATGGTGTATGAACCAATTTTCGGTCACCAGCTACCATGGGACTGCATCTCCTTGCGATGCTCCACTGCCTTGTGGGTTAGACCTTTAGGTCAAAGGCTCGGGGTGTGGCCCCCTAAGAAAACCACCTGCTTCGGTCTGGGCATCCGGGCAATATCACAGCCCACACACAAATGATGAACTGAACTGTCTATAATTATGGATTATAATTGAAATGAATATCAATTTGAGTTTTAGAAATGTAGTGCACCATTCTCACGCATAATGTAATATCTCCCCTCATATTCTCCATCTTTTTTGAAGACAATATTCCGATACATAGTTTTGATACAATCCAGATACTCCACTCACTTTTTAGAATAATTTGTGAATTAATCCGTTTTCCACTAAACTAAGACGATAATTTTCAATTTACTATTTTTGTTATAATTCAAATACATTTTCCAACTACGCTTTATAATTCGCATTGATTAACGTATTGCGCTTTTCTTTCATTAAATGTTATTCACAGATGTTAGTGTGGTTTATGACTTCATCTCGTTTATAACATCGATTCGTGATGGAAAGGGGTATCTACTTGAAAAAGAACACCGAAGTAACGTAACCACTAAACTAAAGTATACTATCTACTGAAAAAATCTGAGTAGTCGTCTTATTTCTGAGTTCTTTGTTTTGTTTATCTTTCTTATCGTAACAGATGAATCCCATCAAACAAGGTAATAACTCTCTGTCAGTTGAAGTTAAGCATCACTGCCAGAGAATAAGTTAAGATGGGAAGCAAAAGGGTGGAGTTAATTCCAACTTCAGTTGAAATTAAAATACGATCAGTAAAAAAAAAACAAATGCTTTCAGAGAAAAAGCCAGAAATGACACAACCAAGTATTTAGAGGGCGACAGTGTGAGTGCATCTACTATATGATTGCACCTAACATCAACCATTGGTTACAACTATGGGGTGGGATGCGACCAAGAAGTTTACATCTCCTAACATACATCCGACCAGCAGTTGATGATCTCATAAGTTAGTACCGTATCTCCACTTTCTCATTTCAGGCTTTCTCCCAACCTACTCCTATATAAACGACTGTAGAATTAGCCTCTCTCAACTTACGCTGAGATGTCCACCTCCCAACCAAAGGGTATAAATACTGTGCAGTAGTCCGCTAAATATCGCTTTTTGGCCATAAAACGTAGTTTTTAAGGGTAGAAGACATGAGTCTGTAGCAAGTTTCGGACTTTTTATCCTTGAAGTCCTGCCAGCGTTTCGTTGGAGGTCCGAATAACTTCCAGGTTAAGCAAATAATACTAGGAAGGATGGCGAAACAGTTGATATAGGTGTGAATCCTTATTGACTGAGGTGGTTCGGACATATGTTACACATGCTTAGTCGCCGTTCAACCCAATTTTTTTATATTCTGTGCAAACAGGTGCTATAACTGTGACGGCAGATTAGAGGGTAGCGAATTATTGATCGAACCAAAGACGCGCAAACACGTAGAACGGCCTAGGGTTCTGATTGGTCCCGCCTCCCTGTCTAGCCCAGCCAGTCAAGTCCAGAACACAAGTCTCAGCCTCGGAGATATGAATCGCTATATTTCAAACACACTATGTTTATATACTAATCAAGCAGACCACATCGTACCATAAAATATTGACCAGTAGGAAAATGACACGTTAAATGAATATTGACCAATGGGATGATACCATTTCATGTCCAAGGATAGCATTAGGCTTAATAGAATAATTTTTGGGATATTTTTCTGAATATCCCAACATGTTATCATACGTTGTCCACCAATTCAAACTAATACATGAATTTAACCTTAACTGGGACGTACTTCTTTGTGGTGACAATACCGATTCGCCTAAAACTGAGTGGAACACCCATCATCTTTATGTAAAGTGAATTCTGGTTATGAGACGGTGGATATTCGTAGCTCAGGAGGATGATTTTATGCAAATCGTGTTCACTGTGGCGTGTTTTAGTTGTAAAGCTTTCTTGGTTTTTCCAGACATTATCGTCATAATAACTGGAAAAAGTAATTTCTAGCACTAAGATTGGAAGAAAATACGGATCACAAACGAATTGACTGTGTCCTTGTTTGTTTTTCATCTGGAGCTCAAGCTACCTTTATTTGTAAGTGTTTTGGTCCTCCTACGCATTCTTGATATCCATGGTTGATTTGATCAGCATTCGTTGGTATATTGAGTACGCGAACAGAGGTCAACACAATTCTGTGCGGAACATGCTACACCTACATCCCGCTAAGACGTCAAGAAAAATGGTTAGAACTGCAAATATCCGCCAATGTAAATATTCTTTCAAAATCTAAGACAGAAAAGAATACTAACCACCGTCCCACCTATTTTCACAATTAATTATAAGAATGTAAGCGTTTACACATCGGGTAGTATAACAAGAATCGATCCCCAACTACTATGAAGATCAACATACCTATAATTTAAGACTGGAATCTAGCCAGATGTTGGTATTCCAGCCGTATTAAGGTTGGTCAAGCCTTATCCGGTGGAGCCGACCGACTTTTCCGCAAATAATTGCCTTTTACAAGGCACACAAACCCACTGTGTGTATGTGATTGTGTGGGGGGATCGATAAACCCGGGCCTTGGCACGAGAGAGTTGCACCAAAAGTGCAAGTATGGGCTACATGCATACTGGCAATACATAATTTTTCCTTTATGCAACCCTTGGCATACACACAGGTATACTCGCTCTGGGAGCAAATATACGTTGCATGCACACCGGTAACGCAAGTTTTCACTCACGCATTCTACAGCCTACGCATAGGTATATTAACTAAGCTGGAGACGGTCACCGCTCCCTTCGAACGTATTGTTTCTTGTGCATGTGATTAGTACAGAGGCTTTTGCCCTCGCACTTCTTAACATGCATATGAACATAAGAACTCTGAGGGGGGGTTGATGGTCACCTCTACCTAATATTCGCCACCATATTTATTTATCTCCGACCTGTTGTTTTAGGCCGCTGGTTTTATTAGACTTAGCCAGGTAGTATTGAAAAACGAAACAAATTATGAACATTGACGCGCTTAATTCACATTAGTCAAAATACCATTAGGGGAAATTCGAATAAGGTAACAAATACATTGAGTTAATGTTTGCAAAGAAGTGGCCTAATTTACCACCAAGGAAAAAAAGATGAATACACGTTTAAGAACAGAAATACTTGAAGAAGTCCGTGTATTCAACAAATAATTGATATCACAAAACTTAATGACAGTCAGTCAGCTACAACGTAGGACCAGGTACATATATGCATCGGTCCAGGTTGCCACACCTTATTAGCACAAGATGAACACCAGATTCACAGTAGTTACTTCAACGGTAGTATTAAAAAAAGGGATGCATATAAAGACGTGATACAGGGAGAAAGAACTAGTTCGTAGAAATGTATAAATTAATTCCAATCTCACGGTTTAAGGGAAGACAGGGCATGCACCTCCATTGAGATCGGTTTTGAGTCATGTCACCCAGATTCTCCAACCGTGTAAGTACGTTTGGTTAGCAATATATTTCTTGTCACACATTTGAGAACATGATATTGATTAGTCATGAACTTTTCGTCGAAATGATATTTGTGAATAACAATATTGAACTAAAAAACCTGGTTATAACTCCCCACAAATTGTTTAATGCCGAACATAGTTATTTTATCTATAGGGAAACAAATGTTTAGATTAATATTGCTTGTTTCATATTTGAAGATCTGGAGTATTTTAATTAATAATCTTAGTGTTGAACCAGCAAACATCAGTGAAGTTATCTTTTCCTTATCGTAAAATTAGTCAAAATTTATAACAATGTGAAATCATGGAATACAGGTATATTTTATGCGGTTATCAAAAGTATTGATATTTAACTACCTTTTATTTAAAGGTTCGCTTTAAATAAGACTGGAACAATTATCAGGTTGCCATGAAGGTAATATACTATCTTTTCAAGGATAAACGAATTGTTAGGAATAATTTATCTGTAAACAAGTAAAACAATTTCCAAGTTGATAAATGTAAGCACTTTATAGATAATAAATCATTTTTTGAAAACTTAAACAAATTTTTTTAAATAATTAAAAACAAGCAGATGAAAAGTAAGGAGAGAAAGAAAGAATATGAAGTTTAATTGGAAATATCAAAATAAAAATATGCTAATTCAATAAACCAGATAATATATACAAATAAGGTTAGTACCATTATCACTAGGTGATTAATGAGGTCTGAAAGAACCTACACAAGATTCTGATTGGTTTCTTGCACGTGGTATATAATGTTGCACATTATGAATCAGAGGTGAATCATTTACAAGTTGTAACAAGTGTTCGGTGATTAAATCGACACCAACATGATTGTCTGGTGCACGTGGTAGGATGACATCAGCATATTTTTTAGTCTAAATAGTAATTTAAACAGTAAGAGAAAATGAAGATAAGTGTCACATAATAAACATTGATTCATTAACAATGAAAGCATGTGATTTAACAGCCAGATAAAGGTTAATACTCTCGATCAATAGCTACGCTGACAGCAGATTTTCAGTTAAAGCACTAGACAGTAAGTTCAAACCCCACCAAGGAATCATTTGATTTGATGTCAGTGCCCACGCAGTATTGTGACCTACATCCGAACCACATTCAGTATAATAAAGGATACATATGCACAATTCAACTTTGCTCGCACGAGGTAGTAAAACCCACTGAAAACACTAAATAAAACGAACAGCGGAGAAAAAATATGCCTTATGTCAGTTTGACAGGACTGCAGTACAAGTAGTATCTTCCCGAAAAATAAGTAAAAAAACATTTGGAATTACTAATCCAGTCTTGAATGTAGGCATTACAAACTAGCAGGGGTGAAGTATAGGTAGATGACACAAGTAGTTAGAAAATTACCTCAGCATTTATTTGAAATTAGTTTAGCACTGTTTTGAAGCACGAATTTATCAGTGCTTATATCGTTGGGTCATCATGAGTAACATAAATACACAGTTGTCATTTTACGAGTGTTGTAAAACTTAAATCTTCCGTATAGAAATTTAAGTGATAACATATGACTGATCACGATTACACTGTTTAGAGGAATAAGGCAAGAATATCATTGGTAGAATAAAGCATCACCTAAAAAATGGTGCAGCAATAATGTTAGGCTGTTTGCAGTAGTCGTGAAGAAACTCAGGATTTAGCATGATCGACAGAACGTGATCAGTACTAGAAGACTCAGTAAAATCAGAAACTACAGTAATAAAAACGTACAGTGCAGCAATGGCAATAGTATTTATTATTATTCTTACTATTACTATGAAAACTTGACTTTGAAAATATACTCACGGGAAGACAAAACTCCTCGAACGCCGGTTTAACGTATTTAAAATAACTATCGAGTACGGAATCCAAGCAACGACCTTTCATGGAAACATCTCTTAGGACTACAAAAAATTTACATTTTGTTATCTTTTCTTAAAAATACCTTTTCTGCAAAGTCTAGTGTCTGCATCTGATTCAATGAAGATTTTTAAGTCGAACATGTCTCTGACTTCTTTTTGATAAAACGTTAATATTCCTTCTACGATGACAACATCTACATCATCTGGGACCTCCTGAACATCCGGGGTACTAAAGACTAGAAGTTAAAAAGTTAATCCTGTACCTCGAATAGGCAGAGCAGTCATATTTGTGAAGGACCACATGTTCTCCTTGTTTTATTTTCCTTAAAACGTCAGTCAAATATTTGAAGTCAAACGAATCTAAAAATATGTAATAGAAACTCAAATAAGACTAAATCAAGAAAATCGTGCGAATATAAAACATTTAGAAATTCTATAATATTGTCAACTACCTCCATGATTATACACACATTTATATTTATATTTAAATGGAGCCACTAGATTTAATATTTAGCAGTGGGCACCCAAGCAGATATCCTCTGGGAAAAACATCTCAGCAAGTTATATTAAACACAATCGACTTCACTTATAAACCTGGCAAAAAGCTTTCAATGTAACTACAAACTTCCAAGCAATCGCTTATGAATAATAAACAAGATATTGTTGAAAGGCGTTGAAACCATTATTACTAGAGATTTTGTACAATAAGACGGATCGAAAACAAGAAATAAAAAACGTCCAAAACCTCCTGAGCTAACATTGATGTAAATTATAACAGAATCCTGGAGATCCAAAGAATAATGATCTAAACATATAACTCAGACAACTGTGAAACATGAGGGCATCGATCCTAACGAATTTTCGATATCGAAATAATGAAATGAAACCCAGTATGAGCTGCACTTCACTTTCCAAAGTGAGTTTTATGAATAAGTTACTCTAAAAGCTCAAAGACAAACTCATAACTAACAACATCTAATTTCTGAACTAATAACTACGTGTTACGTCTCCGTGGCACAACCGGTTAGCGCGTTCGGCTGTTAACCTAAAGGTAGTAAGACTTATAAATGTGGACAACCAAACTACTTGTTCCCCGTTGGGGAAGGAATGCAGTGCGATGAATGTAAAAAGTGGTACGAGATGTGTACACGTCTAAGTCCTACGGCATACAAAAGATGCGTGAAGCCTAACTCGCATTGGCTTTGTATGTTTTGCTGTACAAATAAGAAGTTACTAATTCAGGAGGCTATGAGCCTATTGGCTTTGGCCTGTAAGAAAAATGATGGCGATTGCGCTGATAACACAAGCACTGACCGGGAAGAACGTGTCAGTGTAGTACGTGTGGATACCGGACCCGCTAAACACCTGACTGTGATTGACAGGAAAGTGAAATCCTCGTTAATAATAACGAGGGGTAAAGTGCCGCTTGATATTGACATCGGTAATCATACACCTCTAGTGGAAATTGAAGACCCGGACAAGACTGTCACCGTTCTAAATAGTCCTGGTGTGGCTGTCCTGAGTGATGATAAATGGACTTCAGTACTGAGAAAAAGAAATAAGAAGAAAAAGGCTGTAGGCAATACGCAGCTGGTTAGCAAGTCATTGGAAGAGACGGTATCAGTAACAAAAACTCCACTGCTTATTAAGACAGGCCTCTCTGAGAGGTCAGTCATTTTCCATAAGTTAAAAGAATCTTCCGATTTTTCAAATTGTAAAGGTTCTGAGCCAAACGATCCCCAAACCACTCTGGGTGGTAAGGGAAAGTTCTCCACAGACTTAAAAGTATGCTACACAAATGCTCAAGCCAATGGTGGATAAAGAAAAATCGGATGTTATTGCTGTCTCAGAAACTTGGTTAACGTCGGAAGTATTAGAAAATGAAATTCAGTTGACTGGTTTTTTAAGCAATAGGGCTGATAGATTAAACCGTATGGAAGGCGGGGTTATCCTGTACACGAAAAGTACCCTAACCATAAGAGTAGTTGAGACAGTGGCACATGTTTCAGGGACATGTGAACTGGTGTGATATAAGCTGAAATGTAGACGGCAGGATATTGAATTATTTGTAATATATCGCAGTCTAGAATGTGTAGCTGATGATTTTCTCCTAAGTAAACTTAAGTCCTGGTGTAACAAGGGTAAAAGCCTTGTAGTAGGCGACTTTAATGCACCACATATAAACTGGGTTAACTTAGAAGTAGGGCCATCCATATCGTCGTGCGACTGCAAACTGTTAGAAACCTCGATTGGATTAGCATTATTCCAACACATAAGAGATCCCACAAGATACGACTTAAGAAGCTCTCCCTCTTTTAGATTTAGTCTTCACACACGGTGATGACGTTGGTCAGATGAATTTCCTCCCACCACTAGGGAGAAGTGATCATACAGTCGTATTATTCAAATTCATGGCTGAGATTGTCTGTCAAACAGTTGCGCCGGCCCGTCCTAATATATGAAAGGCAGATATAGAGGAAATCAACTCCATAGCATCGGCTGAAGACTGGGAAATTGACTCAAGGGCATCAGTACAAAAGGCATGGACCCTTTTCAGGCAGTTATACAATCGGGTAACAACCATACATACCCTGGACAGTTCCAAAGAAGAAGCATGGCCATCCCTGGATAGGCCGGGATATTCGACGTTTACTAAGACAAAATAAATGTTTCTTAATAGCCGAACGCGGAGACGTAACACCTAGTTATTAGTTCAGAAATTAGATGTTGTTAGTTATGAGTTATTACTACACAAATTTGAATCACATATAAAGACAAACCAACAATGAAGGACTCACTTGGGTGGTCGAAGTCAAACTCACTATTCAGGGCTAATTTGAGTTCCTCATCGGAAAGTTCACGATAAAACGATGACAAGGAAAGAACTTCAACCTTCTTCCCTTTCGCCTTCCTGTATAAGACATCCTTTATCTTCTTGCATGCCTCTGCCTACAAGCATTGCTTGTTGAACTTAAAATTACTTTTCCTGAAGCGGCTCCTCCACTAATACCAATCAGAAAAGGTTTGGAAGCTGTTTGTGTCATTCCTAGAATACCCAAGGTCATTAACTAAGTTGCGTGGACTAAGTTTCAATCCTTCAAGGTGGGACGTTATCCTTGATGAGCAACGACAGAACGTAGGTCAAATGGTTCTGGACGGAACACAAGAAGCTTACAATATAGTGAAGAATCCCGTTATGAACAACTCTGAGGTGATTGCACTAGGTTTTCTAAGTATTACAGTTTACAGTTTGGGAAATACAGGAGGCTCGATGGCCTATGTTAGTCCTGGCAATGGTCGTCTCTCAGTTGATCCAACTTTCTTTTGAAAGAGTCGACGGATGGAGCCTCAACCACGTGCTGAGGTAGTGAATTCCGCTCGTTGATGATTCGATGGGAAAGTCAATAGTCAGCTGACAAGTAATTTGTTCTTGGCTTGTGAACTTTTTTGGAGTGTCCTCGTAAATTCTCTGTTTTGGAAGACAAGAAAAATGGGGGCATATCAAGTGCAAATTTGGCACTAAGCAATTTGAAAACTGTAATCAAGTCGCCTCTAGTTCTGCGATATGACAACAAGAAAAGGTTCAGCTTAGCCAGTCGAGCTTTATACGGAAGCTTCGCTATTCCGGGAATCAGCTTAGTCGCCGTTCTCCGAACCTTTTCCAGAAGCTCACTGTCTTTTTTAAGCAGGGGCTGGCCGCTTTTATGCAGTACTCAAGTTTAGGATGTACGAACACTGTATACAAAGTCAAAAACGTCTTAGCGTCGACATGAATAAAAGCCCTACGTATTGACCATAAAGTTCTAAAACCTTTGGCGGCTATTGCACGGCAGTGTGCAGTAGTCTTTAAGTCTTGGCTAACGATGACTCCTAAGTCATTACATGTCTGGACGACAGGTAGCTCAGTGTTATTCATCGTGTATGTACCTGTGCCTTGATGACCGATATGCATGACAACACACTCAGAAGTATTTATCGGCAACTGCCATGTTTGAGACCATTCAGATAATTTCTTCAGGTCATTTTGAAGTTCTAAGCTATCACTCTTACATCGTATCGTTCTTCATATCTTTACATCGTCAGCATATAGAAAGACCGATGATGATAGGAGACAAGGAAGGTCATTTACATACAAGAGGAATAGCACTGGCCTCAAAACTGTACCCTGGGGCACTCCACTAAGCACGGTTTCCCAGCTAGACAACTTTGAGTTCACCCTTACTCTTTGTTGACGCCCAACTAAGAAGTCTTTTATCCACATAAATAGATTGCCTTTAATCCCGACTTTTCTTAACTTATATAACAGCCGGTTGTGCGGAACTTTGTCAAAAGCTTTGCTGAAATCGATGAAGGCTACGTCCACAGGTAGCTTTTGGTCCTTAAGAGCGCACTAGCATAGATGTGTTTGTCTTGACCAATAATAATGTAGGGGTAAATAAATCCCCAAAATAAACAGCTCTGTAAGTTTTCGATATTGCATGCTGACCACATTAGTTTTAATGGACTCACCTAGCTGAAGGCGCTCGGTCATGCATCCGCACCAGATCACGATAGGTAATGCCGTGCTCAACAACCCCTGCAACCGCTAGCCAGATTAGATCAAACGATCCTCGATATGTTGATAGCCTATCAAATATATATTCCAACCTCGTCGCTTCTGTCTTTTGATTTCACTTGGTGGGCACGCTTCATACAGAAGGTGTTACTGGTTAAGGTGTTGTCAAACTCCGAATACCTGAGGCATCTTCATTGGTGAGCCTAACGTGATCAAGTACACCAAATTGTAAACTATGGGTCTGTTCCTTTTTGGTATCCTGCATATTATTGCCTTATAATAATTTTTATATTTTGTGATATCTTTTATCCATGTTTTTGATATATATATTTTTTCACTCGTTCATTCTCGTACTTGATATTACACCACGACGAAACAGACACCCAAGGTACTTAAGCTGAAGACTATGTCCTCACCTTCGTTCCAGCTAATGTTCCTCTGGCTATACGTTATCGAAATCGACTTCTACGAGCACGGCGTGAACGATACACGTGCACAATTCCTCGCAGTAGTCAAGGCACTACCGCGCGAATTCAAGAGGTACGTAACACATAGCATGTTTACTATTGATGTTTCGTAACCCTATAAGACAGTTAAACGATTTATCCTTGAACGCGGAGACCTAGCCGATCGACAAAAGTTAGACCAACTCCTTAATAACATGGACCTACAACACGGTTCTACGACAGACATGATGCAAAGAATGAGAGGTTATCGGCCAAAGAACCTTCGATGATGGCCTATTCAAACAACTTTTCTTATCCAAACTTCCTCAACAGGTGCAAGCTGTGCTGGTCTCGTTTCAAAACAACGCCTTAGACGAGGTGTTTGCATCTGCCGACCACATTTCAGAAACCACGAAATCCTCGAAAGCTGAGGTTCTTTCAGTCAAAGAAAAGCCCCGAACGTTCCAGAGTGACATCATAGAGTAATGTCATACACTTACTCGTTATCTCAAATTTCAAAACGACCGTAAATGGCCACACACCTCACGAAGAAGCACTTTACGTACGCAATCTGTCCCTGGACCACGGAATACGGATAACTCCGACTGGTGCTGGTATCCTGACCAGTATGGAAAGTCCTCCAGAAATTGCAGAAAATTCTGCAATTTTCCCAACTCAGAATGGACCGACAAGGAAAAAATTCGGGAAACTTCCAAGCCGACAAGCGTTAACGGCAACCGTAGCCGGCGAACATAGCCGTCTGTTATCCGTCACACATTTGATAACGATAGTTCGCTACCTCGTCGATACTGGAGCATAAGTTGGCGTTCTTCCGACGAATTCTAACGACCGGCTTCGCGAATCAGTTTTACACTTACAGACGGCAAACGGAAAGCCTATCGCCACACACGGTAAAACGTACGTTTACCTTAACGTGGGTTTACGCAAACCCATTCACTGGATCTTTGTTGTTACAGATGTTTCCATGCCAATCATTGGTATAGACCTGTAGTGGCATTGGACAATAATCACACAATCTTCAAAGCTGAATACGGGATTGCTCGGAAAATAAACATTCAATATTTAACGCGGAGAAATACCTAACGATGGAGAAGGCGCGAACAAGGAATTGAATGAGTTGCAGTTGATCGAATGGCATGACTCGGGCATGCAGGCGTGGTCCCTGTTATCTTATATCTTTTAACCATATTAAATATATTGTCCTATCTCTATCCTAAGCTTGTTCTCCATCATGTATTGGCAATTGTTATGATGCAGTGAGTTGGTGTAGACGATGATGTAACTTCCACGTAAGATCTTATAGATTAGACAGTTATATCATCACAAGTCTATAATTTTAGGATTAGGTCTATTATTAGATCAGTACTAATATCATAGTAGACCATAGTTCTAAAAATCTACTACATCACCACAATTTAGTCATCTATACGCGCAAACGGAGGGTAGTGGACGAAAACACTAATTTATATGTTTGCGTAACTTCTTGTTCTGGTTGCAGATTATCTCCAGTCACGATTAAGCACACGATAGACCCATTCTATCAACCATCACTCGATAGGTATTCTGAGATATACCAAACGCAACCGAAATTACCATGTGTAACGAGCAACGTTACACATCACATCACGACTACAGGATCACCTGTGTTCTCTTAAGCACGCCGAGTGGCCCCCGAAAAGCTAAGGTTGGTGAAAAACGAATTCGACCACATGATAAACCTAGGTATCACAAGACCGTCGAACAGCCCACGGACATTTCCGTTTCACACGGTTACTAAGGAGGACAGCAATGATTGGCGTCCAACTGATGACTATAGGTGATTGAATGCAAAAACCATTCCCGATCGTCACCCGTTGTCTCACATTCACGATTTGACAGCTACCTTGAAAGATACAACTGTCTTTTCGAAAATCCAATTGGTTGAAGCGTATAACCAAATCCCTATGGCTACTCGCGATATTCCGAAAACCGCTATCATAACTCCCTTCGGACTCTACGAATTTTCGCGAATGCCTTTCGGTCTAAGAAACGCTGCACAAACATTCCAAAGGTTCATAGACAACGTACATGCGTAGTTTGATGACTGCCTAATAGCAAGTCCGGAGAGAGAATCGCATCTCCAGCATCTGGATCTTGTTTTCGAACGACTACAAAAACATGGCATTACTGTAAACGTTCAGAAAAGCCAAATCGGAACTGTCTCATTAGACTTCCTAGGAAATACTATAGATGCGCGATGCATTCGACCCCTTAGAACAAAAGTGGCGGCCATTCTGGATTACCCAGGACCGACCACCATCAAGCGATTACGAACTTTTAACGGCCTTGTAGGTTTCAATAGACGGCTCATACCGAAATGCGCATTATTTATGAAGCCTCTTACTGACCATCTTTGTGCAAATGCGAAATCCATCAATCTGGACGACACCGCACGAAAAGCATTCTCCACAATCAAGGTACCTATCGCTAAAGTAACAACGCTTGCTCATCAGGACACTGAAGCACCCATTAGCATCGCAGTAGACGCATCCGACTTAGCAATCGGAAGAGTCTTACAACAATAGGTTAACAATTCTTGGCGAACCTCGGCATTTTTCTCTGGACGGTCGCTAGACACTGAATCGAGGTACGGCATATTCGGTAGAGAACTCCTAGCTATGTATTGTACTGTACGGCATTTCCAACAGTACATCGAAGGCCGTAAATTTACCCTTTTACTGACAATAAACCGCTTACCTCCTCCTTAAGCTCTTCTTCAGACAACTACTCACCTCGTGAGTCTGGACAACTGGACTACATTTCGCAGTTTACCTCAGACATCCAACACATTTCTGGAGCAAACAATGTAGTAGCAGACGCCTTGTCTCGAATGACTTCCTTGAACATTTTCAAGGAATCGATCTTCTTTAACTCACCCAGCTACAAAAAGAATACACTGATCTTCGGCACGAGTTATGGTCTGCAACCCTCAAGCTACGCACCAAACAGATGGAAACAGGTAGGGAAACCTTACTTTGTGAAGCATTTACAGTTAGGGATCACCCA